TTGCAGTGAACAATAAGACATGTAATAGAAGCAAAGGTGTCTGCACAGGAAGAATTTGCCCATGTTAAGGGGGGGATGCAACCCAAAAAGAGATGTAGATTCTCTTCTGTGCTTTGATCTTTGATTTAGCTGTGAAAGTATAAAAAGAGGATGAAGTAGAGATGATGTTGGATTATCCTTTTGGTATAGTGTCCTTCCACCCCGTGTGTGTATTTGTGTGTGTGTGTGTGTGTGTGTGTGTGTGTGTGTGTGTATGTATGTATGTAGATACTCATGGAGGCCAGAAGAAGGCATCTGTGGTGCTTTGAAAGAAAATTGCCCCTATAGGGAGTGGCACTGTTAGGAGGTGTGGCCTTGTTGGAGTGGGTGTGGCCTTGTTGGAGGAAGCGTGTCACTGTGGGGGTGGGCTTTGAGGTCTCCTGTGCTCAGGCTACTTTCAGTGTCACAGTTGCTTCCCGTTGCTTGTGGATGAAGATGTACAACTCACAGCTCCTTCTCTAGTATGTCAGCCTGCACTCACTCCCTCATGCTCCCCACCATGATGAAAATGGACTATACCTCTGAAACCATAAGCTAGCCCCAATTAAATGTTTTCCTTATAAGAGTTGTAGGTGTTGGGCTGGAGAGATGTTCCTCCACAGGACCTGGGTTCAATTCCCAGCACCCACATGGTAACTCACAACTGTCTGTACCTCCAGTTCCAGGGGACCTGACAGCCTTACACAGACATACATGCAGGCAGAACACCAATGCACATAAAATAAAAATAAGTAAGCTATTTAAAAAAAAAAAAAGAGTGGTATTGGTCCTGGTGTCTCATTGCAGCAATAGAAACCCTAAGACAGTATCAGATCTCCTGGAGCTGGAGATACGGGTGGTTTGTGAGATACCCTACGTGTGTGCTGGGAACTGAACCCTTGTCATGGGGGTTCTGACCATAGAACAATCAAGCCAGCAATCAGACACGGGGAGGAAACTCAGCTTTATCACTTGCAGGCATGGACCAAAGCTTATGATTGTCCAGGAGCTCCTCATGATTTTTCCCACAGGTGTTGTTGGTAGGTGTGACCAGTGTGACCACCTGAGGATACTGTCTGAGTCCCATGCCCCTTGACGAGAATTTCCACCACAGTTAGACATGTTTACAGGAACAGACACTACAGGAAAAATGTTTTCAGGTAATAATAAAAAACATTCCTTTCTTAGCAAATAGGATCTGTCTTGTGACCTTCAACCAGATAGCTGTGGTAATCGTTTTCCAGGCAGCTTCTTGCAAGTGTTTGTTTTTCCAAGGTAAGAGGCAGGGGCTTTAAATAAGCCATCAGCACACTAGAATGAAATGTTAACAGTCTACTTTTTACTTAATCCTACAGTTTCTAGGCAAGGATTGCTATTAGGTTTTCACAATAAGAGAGTTAATTTGGTTTTTGTTAGGTGCATCTGTACAGATGTCTCTGTGTGTATTTCCTTCTTTGGTATGAAGCAGGAGGAAACAGTACAAGTTAGATTAAGGTGATGAGTCCTTCTTGGGATCCAAAAACTCGACCAACAGGAAGAATCAGACAGTGGAGAGGGACAGAGTGGGGCAGATGTGGGAGAAGATAGCCCTCAGATCTGACCTTTAGTATATTTTCCTTTCCATGGAAAGGAAAATCCATGACTCACCCTGAAGATGGGAACCTTCACAACTAGTGCTGGAGGCTATGATAAGCAGGAAGTAGTCGGCATCTGAACTGCTTGAACTGGAGGAAAGGTTTTTTGATTTCTGTTTTTAAATCATTATCACGTTTATTTGCTTTAGTGTGTGCACCACACATGAGGAGATCAGAGGACAACCTGTGTGAGTCAGCTCCTTGCACCCTTTGGATCTTGGGGATGGAACGCAGGTCATCAGGCTTGGCAACAGGACCTTTACCCATGGAGTCATCTTGCTAGCCCTGGGGGAGTGTAACTTTGTAACAATGACCAAAAGAGTCTCTCATGAGGCTGTGGGCCAAGGAGGCCAAGGAGGATAGTTCTGAGTGCTGTAAAATAGAGAAACAAAGTTGTCCATTTTAGAGACAAAGGTTCTGGATAAGAGTTTAATTGGTTATTAGGAGGACCCTGTAATAGGTAAGAGCTGAGGGATGCAGGGAGAACCTGGCAGCCAGGTCTGCTTTGCTATGTTAAATAGTCATCTCAGCCATTTGTCCCAGGATTGAAACCCAACCTATACAGAGTAGAGTACATCTTGAAGGGATTGGCCTCTGAGCCATCTCTCTGGCCTGCAAATCGATGTGTTTTTGTTTGTTTGTTTTGTTTTTGTTTTTTTGAGGTAGGGTTTCTCTGTGTAGCCTTGGCTGTCCTGGGACTCACTCTGTAGACCAAGCTGGCCTCGAACTCATAGAGACCTGACCGCCTCTACCTCCTGAGTGCTGGGATTAAAAGCATGCGCCACAGTCGCTTGATGTTTTAATGCATACAGACTTTATACAGTAACTATAGCAACCGAGCTAATTAACATATCCATCATTCCTAAGAGCTACGTTTGTTTTCTGTTGGTGAGAAAATTTGAGAGTGATACCTTCAGCAAATTTCAAGAATACAATACAGTATTGTTAACTATACTTATAGTGCTGTGTGTTAGATATCTAAAATTAATTTGTATTGTATAAGTAACACTCTACCCTTTCAGTAAAATCTCCAAACTGCCCCTCCTCTAGCTGGCAGTAACTATCATTCTCTTCTCTGCCAAAATCCTCCTTCTCCTTTTCTGTGTGTTTTTTTTGAGGCAGGGTTTCTCTCTGTAGTCCTGGTGCACCCTCTGTAGACCAGGCTGACCTCAGCCCCAGAGATCTTCCTGCCTCCCATGTGCTAGGACCACTGCTGGGCCCCAATAACCTTCTTAGGTTGTTGAAGTCATCACTGTTGGTCCAAACTGACCACCCAAAATGACAGTGCTGGTGACAGTGTCCTAACAGAAGGAATCTGACCATGTGTCCTAAATTCAGCTTTTGTTTACCAGGAACCTGACTTAATCTGCCTCCAAAGGTCAACTACCTTAGGCAAGGTAATCTAGTTCCCTCTCAAACAGAACAGCCTGTATCAGCTCAAAGGCCCCCCACCTGGCTGACTGTCATAAAATTTGCTTGTTTTTCCGCCAGTTTGCTCACCCCACACCCCCACAGTCTTAGTTATTTCATTACCAATAAACTTTTCTCTCTAGCTATGGAACGACCAGTTGGTGGTCTCACTGAGCCCACCCTTACTATCAAAGTGTAGACAAAAAGTATCATTCTTAAAGCTAACTCATAAAACACGGGAAGTTGAAAAGCATTGGTCTAGCACAACATATTATGCTTAAATGCAAGTATGCTGTTAGTACTTGCGTTCTGAGATTTGGTTTTGGAGATGATTTCTCGGTGAAGCCCTGGCTGTCCTAGAACTCTCTTTGTAGACCAGGCTGGTCTCTAACTCACCGAGATCTACCTGTCTCTGCCTCCCGAGTGCTGGGATTAAAGGCGTGTGCCACCACCATCGACTGTCTCATTCTGAGATTTTTTTTTAAAAGAGCAATTGCCCCCTAAAAATCCCATCTACAGTATATTAAGTTGTGCAAGAGGCAAGGTGATGCATGTTGTTCCAGCATTTTAGAGATAGAGGCAGCAGGAGAATGACAAATTTGAAGGCAACTTGGGGCTAAACAGTGTATCTTTGGAGAGAAAGGGAGGGTAATTATGTTGTAACATTGTTTCGCTTGAGACAAGAAGTAAAATCGTACTTCAAAAGTCCTACTTCAAAACAAAAAACATGGGCCGGGCGGTGGTGGCGCACGCCTTTAATCCCAGCACTCGGGAGGCAGAGCCAGGTGGATCTCTGTGAGTTCGAGGCCAGCCTGGTCTCCAAAGCGAGGCGCAAAGCTACACAGAGAAACCCTGTCTCGAAAAACCAAAAAAAAAAAAAAAAAACAAAAAACATAGGAACTTTCTTAAGTAGCTATCTCTTGGTAAAATAAAAACTCTAAAATTATGGATAGCAAACTTTAATTTTAAAGGTAAATTTGGACTTAAGAAAAAGCACGTTTTGCCCTTTGGAGCTCGTTGTTTTTGCAACTAACTTTTTATTCTTTTATGAATTAATGAAATACAGACCATCATAAACAATGGTAAACAGAAGTTCTAATTTTGTTCCTTGGCCAAATGAGTCTTAACTTTGGGTTCAGCATGACGGTTCAATAAAGGTATGGATAATTCCAACAATTTTTATAATTTTAGACAGACCATTTGACCTATGGCTTTAACAGTTTCAGTGTCCTCAGTAAATAAAACTAACGACCGACTCCCCTGCATTTGTCAAGAGCCGCACAAAGGGTATTATTACCATCACTGAGTGGCTTGGGCAGTTTTGTCATCCGTAGCTGTGGCAGTCATGGCTGTCAAAGCCATGATGAAATATCTCTGGGCTAGTTCGTTTCCTAATTTCAGTTTATTTTAAAAAAAAAACACCATCTTGTTTTCTTCGGGAAGAACGTTCAACATTGGATGGCCTTCGTCTTTTACTTTCTGAGTGTAAAATCCATCCTCCTCATGGACTCCTTATCAATAACTTAATTTTAAGATGACATTCCGGCCCTCCTTTCGCATCACAAACCTGTCGGACAGGACAGGAGGCGGTGACTGAGCTACCACCCTCAGGTGAACACGCGGGCACCACCCTGCGGGGAGAACTTTTTCTTCTGGTTCTCCGCAGAGCCTTTTTTTTTTTTTTTTTAAACCCCGAATGCTGGAGCGCGGGGCTCGGGAGAACTCGGCAGAGATCGGAAGAACTCGGCCGGCAGGTGAGCGCCCGGCTCCTCGGCGGCGGCGGAGCGTGTGAACCTGCCGGCCCCGGGGGCGCGCGGGCTCCGGGGCGCGCAGGCTCGGGGGCGCGCGGGCTCCGGGGCGCGCAGGCTCGGGGGGGCGCGCGCGCGCGCGCCAGAGCGGGAAGCCAGGAAGCACGGCGGCGCCCCGAGCCCGGCGGTGGCGCGGGCAGCCCGGCGGGGCGGGGCGAGGCCTCCGGAGGGCCGGGCTCCCGGCATCGTGGTCGCGCTCGCCCGCGGCTCTGCCCGCGGCTGCCGTCGGGACGCTTGGCCATGTCCTGGCGCCGCGCGGTTTCGCCGGGGAGGTGGCTGGTGGCGAGCGGGAGCAGCTTGGCGTGGTGGCGCAGCGCGGCGGGAGCTGCGGGCTCGGGGTACGCGGCGGGCTGGGCCTGCGTGGCCCGTGGGACCCTGCGGTAGTGTTAGTGCGGACCTTCCCCCGGGGAGCCCGAGCCGGGTTTTGGGGGACACACACACCAGACCCCCCTAGTTGGAGCTTCACATACACAGGGGGTGGTTTTTGGCGCGGTGTAGACGTGGGCGACCCTGAAAAAGATATTCCCTGCTGTGGGAACTTATCTAACCAGTCGTTCTTATTTTGATGGTAAATGTCTTGGCTGTCCTGTCGCAGGAAGTAAATATGACTGTTGCTTCTAAGTGGCCAAAGCTTTGCAGCTAATAACTCTGGCGTCCTGTAGATGTGGTTTCTGGTTTGATGGGAGTGTTGCTATCCTTGGCTTCCTTCCTTGGCATACCCTGGGCCGACACACCAGCTTTGGCCTAGGCGGTTCTCAAGACATCTCAGCGTGTGCCCCAGAGCATCCAGTCCTCCACTGTCTTCCAGAGACTTCCCTTCTGAAAGCGCCAATCACGTGATGTTAACTCTGACAGGTCCTTAGAGTTGTTTTCTATTAGATATGTCGGAGTATATGTTTCCTGCTTTGCCCATCTACCACCTCTTAGTAGGTGTTCCGTAAATGGAGCATGACTAGTTGGTGCTTTACCAGTGTTGAGGTGGAGTGTTTATGGTGCATTTACTCTATACCTGCCCCTTTCCTTAATAGGAAAGCTCAACTAGAAATTGATGGGCCTGCCTCAAGAAAAGGTAGGGGGGCCTTTTTGGAACTTTTTCCTTTGGCAGGGAAAGGAGTAATATTTCAGAACGTGCCTTGACCCTCTCATTTTCTTAGAAAAAATTCATCCGCTGTAAATGCCGCATAGGTTTGAGGAGGAGGTAAATGCTAGATTAGAGATGAAAAAAAACCAAACTTGTTTCCGGAGTTGAAAACCCACATAGACTGGGTTGATGCCATCCAGGGGCTCCTCCAGGCCAAGGCCACCTAGTTCCCCTACTACTTTGGACTTCACACACTCAGCAGCTTTTTTTTTTTTTTCCTCTCAAAGTTGCCTCCTCCAAAGTAGGGCAGAGTCTTCCAAGCCTCCCGCTTGCTCCTCCCCTCTCTGTATCTGGTATAAGCGCACAAGTGCTTTTGTTTGAGTGGTTTCTTGTGAATCTCTTGGAGAACAAGGAACAATGACGACAAACGCACATTTAGTTGCAGTGAGTCCTGTCTCTCATCTCTGCTGTAATGGGACGCGATGCTTGTTGCAGTTTATTTGAAGCTTTCCAGGGCGACCGCGTAGAGTAGAAATTCATCATCCATGAGCAACGTGCACTGGAAAAGGCCATTTCAAGGGGATTCCCTCAAAAACAGGACTGAAACTTCATACTATGATTTAAGGCATGCGTTGACTGGGTCCTTTACTTTTTAAATTTAAAATAGCTTACTTTTATACTTAACACAATTAAAGTTTCTATAAATATACGGAATAAAATAAAATAAGGAATAAGTTGCTTTTATGGAAGGAGAAATTTTTTTTCTTTAATTGTAAGTTTATTTTTAAACGGCATGGTGATGCACACTTTTAATCCCAGCATTTGGGAGGCAGAGGCAAGAGGATCTTTGAGTTCCAAGTCAGCCTGGTCTACATAGAACCTGTCTCAAAAATAAAAAGACAAAAAACAAAAAAAAATCCTACCACAAAAAGGTATGATGGCACATGCTTTTAATGCCAGCACTTGGGAGGCGGTGACCAGTAGATCTGGCCAGCCTGGTCTACAAAGCAAGTTCCAGGACAGCCAGGGCTACAGAGAAACCCTGTTTTGAAAAACAAACAAACAAAGATATTAAAAACCATTTGAACTTTAAATTATTTATCTTACCCTTAATCCTTAGATATTTGAGCAGTTCTCCTTTGTAGCACCCGCCCTTTGGAGAGATTAGTAGTTTGCATCATGTCTAATTTGCTCCAAGAATGTTGTCAGGCCTTACTAGTTTATCAAGAAAAAGAAGAGAAAGAGGGAAAAGCATTGTAGAATCAACAGAAAGACTTGATAATTCACTGGCCGGTGTTTTGATAGATATCCCTGTCCAGTGGATACTTTTTATTTATTTGAGACAGGATCTCTTTACATAGTCCTGGAACTCACTGTATAAGCCAGGCTGGCCTCAACTCACAGAACTCCGCCTGCCTCTGCCTTCCAAGTGCTGGGATCAAAGGTGGACGCCACCACACCTGACTCAAATACTTTTTCTAAGCTCTAGGCTTTGGATAACAAATGCTGAGGTCCCCATAATCAGGAGCTAATCGTCATGTCAAGTATTATTGACATTTACCATGTGTAGGATACGGTTTTGCTTTCTGTGTATGTCAGCTCATTTCATCTTCACAAACCCCTGTGAGTGCGAGTTATTCTTTTTCCTACTTGTGGATTGAGAAGTTGGGAACTGTAGATTAATGCATTGAAAAACCTTTATTCCCTTAGTCTTTGTAGGTTCTTGGTTTCACAGTGGCCACAAAAGTTTTTGTATATTTTTAAAAAGTTATTATTTTTTTATGTGTATGCCACATGTGCGCATGCTTGAAGAGACCAGAAGAGGGCGCCAGATCTCCTAAAGCTAGATTTACAGGTAGTTGGTTATGAGCGAGGTTGATGTGGGTTCTGGAAACCGAACCTGGGTCTCCTGCAAGAGCAGCAAGTGCTCTTAACTGCTGAGTCGTCTCTCTAGGGCCCCCCTCTCCCCACACCATTTTGTATGTTTTCAGAAGAAATGCCGAACACATTTTATTGCCATTGGTCAGGCCTTCATTAGGGCAGAATATCTGGTATTTGGTGATTATGAATTTACTTATGAATAAGACTGTACTGAACTTTAGACATAGAGGTTGGTTTTACCAGGTAAAATTTATTGAAAGGCTACATCGATAAGCCCACAGGTCCTGTTGGTGTTGGCAGACAAGTACTTGTGGACTGGTATTGTGTACTGATAAAACTTTTCCCCCACTTTGTTTATTTGGACCTATTTGTACTTAAGGTTGTTTCTACTGGAACCCATGTGATAGAGGGTCACTTCATTAACTGGGCTGGTCTTTTCCTTTCTTTTAGGATGGGAAACAGCACATCCTCATCTGTGGAGAAGTCAGCAACTACTCCTGTGAACCAGATCCAAGTGAGTGATGGGAGTGGTGGAGGAAGAAATGTCTCATACATTTAACACACTGACTGTGTCCAGACTTAACATAGTTTGGAAAATACGTCACTAAATTAATACGTTTATTAATTTTGCTCTCAAAATTATCCTTGTGACAAGTCCTGTATCATTTTTTTTCTGTTAAAGTTTCTGGTTTATTGTTTATGCTTTCTTTTTGTGTGAGAGTGTGGTTTGTGTGTGTGTGTGTGTGTTATACACGTGGCTGTATGCATGTGTGGAGGCCAGAGGTGGTATGTCCAGTGTCCTGTTCTATCGTTATCTGCCTTATTCCCTTCAGAGAGTCTCTCTCACAGAGCCTGGAGTTAGGCTGGTGGTAACTGAGCCCCTGCCATTCTGTCTCTGCCCTCCCTCTCGCCCTTCCCTCCCAGTGCTACAGTTACAGGTATGTGTGTGGCCACCGATGGCTTTATACATGGATGCTGGGATCTGAACTCAGGTTCTCATGTTTGTGCCGTGGGCATTCTGACCTGCCGAGTCATCTCTCTAGACCCTTCCCCCTTTTGTTTTAACACTACTGGAGATTGTATCTAGGTTGTCCTGAATTGCTAGACACATTTCTACCACCAAGTTGCCTCTGTTTATCTTTTCACTTTTTTTTTTTTTTTTTTGAGGAAAGGTCTCCCTGAGTTGCCTAGGCTAACTGTAAACTGCTCTAACTCAGGCTACTCTTTGTTTTTTTATTTTCATTTTATGTGCATTGATGTTTCGCCATGGGTGTCAGGTCCCCCAGAACTGTTGTGAGCTGCCATGTGGGTGCTGGGAATTGAACCCAGATCCTCTGGAAGGGCAGTTAGTACTCTTAACCACTGAGCCATCACTCCAGCCATTGCTCCAGCCCCCATCAGGGCTACTCTTGAACCTACAGTGTTGTCTTGACTTCTGCATAAGTGGGATTCCAGGTCTGTCCTGTCAGGCCTGGCTAAAATTTATTCCTTTTTTTTAAAGTTTTTATTTTATTTTACACAAAAATGTATTTAAGTAACTTGTTATATAAAAATCAAACATAAAATTTTATCAGTAAGTCCAACTCATCTCTAACGGGCAGTGCTTGTATTTGGGAAAACTAAACTAAAATATGTACATATTCCTAACACTTGTAAGCACAACTGAAGAGCTACGGAACTCACAGAATTCTAGATTTACAGCTGGAGCTTCCATAAATTTATCTTAGTCAAGTGTTCGGTGCTAATTATGAACACTGTTAAGCCAAAAGCAAGAAAAAGGGTGGGAAATGACCTGTTTCTAGACCTTTATGACAAATACTTCTCTAAGATAGAAAAAGGAATATAACATTTACTTAAGTGACCAAGATTTCTTATTGGATCCCTGTCATCTTTGGCACCTTAGTCCAGCCTGGTGCAAGGCAGTGTGCATGTGATCAGGAAGCCTGCGTGTGTCTCACCAGAGCCTTGCTAACTGGAGTTGTGTGGTCTTGCTCAAAGTAAGGAAGCAGTATTAGCAACAGTTGCAAGCGCCTTCCACACATAGCCCAAGACCTTCTGTTGAAATGTATTCCTGAAAGGCTCTATCACCCCTGCTTCAAAGGTGTTCCTCACATCAGGGAGGAGGGGGAGTAGATCATCACACACGTCATGTACGGGATCATCACAATGAAGTTTCCAAGTCCTGTTTTGTATTTTGAACGACACCCATGGCAGTGGTCAAGCCATCTTATTCCAGAAAAGACTTCACACCACAGTAAGCAACTTTTCAAAAATGTGCTCTCGCCGTCTTCCTTTTTCTAAAGTGTATTTATTCCTAATGACATCCACCTATGAGTTTGGAGTTTTCATTGTTTTATTTTTTTCATCACGCCTGTTCTAAGTCCACTGTTGATCCCTCAGAGTCAGCGGTTCAGAGCCAGGGTTACCGTGCGGCTTTGGCATGGGCAAGTATTTAACAGCTTTCTGCCCCCAACTAACAACCTACTGTGCAATGATTATTCCATAAATTATTCTCTTAGGGATGCTATACATGGCTGTATTCTCTGGTTTTCTTCTTTCTCTCACTGCCGATCTTCATTAATTCTGCCTCAGAAACTTTGTGTTAAGCCGGATGTGGCGTCATTTGCCTGTCATCCTAGCACTTGGGAAGCAGAAGCAAGAGGAGAGAAAATTCAAGGCTCCTTTGGACACTACATCTGAGATCCCTCTTTCTAAACAGAAACAGCCCCCATCCCCCGAATTCCTCTTATCCATATATATTTTTCTTCTCTTCCAGCCCAGGAGGCATATCTCTGTCTTCTTCACTGTCTTCTGCATACATTTTGTTGCTGCTCTGGACGGAGGGTGTAGCTCAGTGGTAGAGCATCATCAGCCTAGCATATGCAGGGTCCGGGGCTTTGCTCCCCAGCATCACACACAGGGAAGCCGAGCTCCTTTTGGCTAACCTCACTCTCTTTTGAATATACAGCAGCACTGCCAGAAACTTCTCGTGTGGGGCGTTCTCTATTTTAAAATACGAAGACAGCACCATGGCACATTTGGGGAGGACGAGCCTGAGAGAGAATGAGGAGCGTCTGCGAACACCCCCCCCCACCCCCACCCCCCCCCACCCCCCCCCCCCCGGCACTGTCATCCTGTGGTACTGTCCACTCACTTTGGAATCTCTTCACTGGTGCTTCTGTGCCACGGGAGCACTCAGCGTGCTCATCTCCTTAAGTCTAAAGGAGAGGCTCAGCGTGCCTCTAACCCGAATGGCATGGTGGAAGCTTTTTGGCTTTGGGTGTGATGTGGAGTTTCAGGAACTCCACATCAAGTGCAATGAACCTGTCAGCTGTAGCTGAAGTTTTCCCACAGACCCCACAGCTGCTTATAAAATAATCACGCAGAAGCTTATATTAATTACAACGACTCGGCCATTAGCTCAGGCTCACTACTGACTAGCTCTTACACTTAAACTCAGCCCATTTCTGCTAATCTATGTGTCGCCACGTGTTCCGTGGCTTTACCTGTGTGCCATTACATGTTGCTCCCTGGACGGCAGGCTGGCATCTCCTGACTCAGCCTTCCTCTTCCCAGAATTCTCCTTGTCTGCTTATCCTGCCTGTACTTCATGCCTGGCTACTGGCCAATCAGCATTTTATTCAACCAGTGTATAAAAGCATTATCCCACAGCAGTCAGCCTGTTTTGTTATCTGTAGAACTGATTCATCAGTGCAGTGTGTTATCTTGAATAGTTGACCTCCCTGGGATAGAACTTTAAATTTTAGTGAGCAGGAGAAAGAATGTGAAATAGATCAACCTGCCCACGTCTAGGACTCAGGACACTTTTGACCCCTAAGGGTGAGTATCCGTTCAGAAGCACTGTGTCTGGGTGTTGCACTCTGTGTCTTTGTCTTCATCTTGAAGTCCCTGATGATGCTGGGCCATGGAAAAGCCACCCAGGTAGGTGCTCAGGTGCCATACTTGTCCATTGGAAACCGGTATGGATGCCAGTGCTGTCTGCTCAACTCATTTCATCCCAGTGTTTAGAAGTAAAGAACATAAGAAAACTTCACAGACTGTGCACTTACCAAAGCCTGGGCATTATGGTAAAGACCTGGAGAACAGTGCAACCCTAGTTGGAATCACAGAGCCATTTTGAAACTTGCTTATGACGTCAGCTTCAAACCACTGAACAAGCTTTTCTGGAAGTAGCTTTTCCAGGGTCAGCTGGCAAGCGTCGTCTACCATCATAGTTTTTACTGTATGGAAACGGGGGAGTAAGCTATTGTCCATACCTGGGGAAAGCTGTGCATTTTAAGGAGAAATGACACATTCTTTCCTTGCAATTGAAAGTCATCAGCAGTAAGGAGTAAATGCCTTCTGAGTACTTTGAAACATTTGAGAAGTACAATAGAGATTAAGTATCTGGACCGTAGGGCTGGATTTACCTGGACTCTCATATCTTCTTACTAATCAAGGATAGAAAGTTAAGTTACTTATCTTCCCTGTACCTCAGTTTCTTCACCTGTGCAGTTTAGATAATATAGGATGGACCTTTATTAAGGTTATGGTGAAGTTGAAATGCCTTTTTGATGTTGAGAATATACAGGAGTGTTGGTGGTATAAGAACTGGATGCCACTGGTATTGTTCTCGCACTGCTCTCAGGCACTATTTTTATATGTCTTTGTTTCTTTTTCAAGATTTATTTATTTATTATGTATGTAGTGTTCTACCTGTATGTTTGCCTGCAGGCCAGAAGAGGGCACCAGATCTCATTACGGATGGTTGTGAACCACCACGTGGTTGCTGGGAATTGAACTCAGGACCTCTCGGATGAGCAGCCAGTGCTCTTAACTGCTGAGCCATCTCTCCAGCGCCCTACTTTTTTGTTTCTAGTGGCCAGCTTTTGGAATGAATTATATCCTCAGTCTATAGATACCACAGATAGATGATAGGAACTTAGTTGTGCTCTACACTCCAAAATCACACTCCTTCCACTAATTATGATTTCATTCCAAAAGGTAATATCTAACATGAGAATGTTTTGTTTATTTTTAATTTCAGGAAACAATTTCTAACAATTGTGTGGTGATTTTCTCAAAAACATCCTGTTCTTACTGTTCAATGGCCAAAAAGCTTTTCCATGACATGAATGTCAACTATAAAGTTGTGGAATTGGATATGCTGGAATATGGCAGCCAGTTTCAGGATGCTCTTCATAAGATGACTGGAGGAAGAACTGTGAGTGTACCCCCTCAGCCCTGCTGCCCCTGGTGATGAGCTGGTGACATGCCCGTCCCCAGACACTAGACTTCCCTGCTAGAAAGAGCACACCTGGCATTTCTGTGGGTCTCATGGTGATAAAGACATGGCAGATCTACAAAGGAACCAGGCTCACAGGATAGGAAACAACGGCATAGTTCATTTTAATTTTTATGTTTGCCGTGTGTGTGTGTGTGTGTGTGTGTGTGTGTGTGTGTATGTGAGAGAGAAAGAGAAAGAGAGAGACAGAGAGAGAGCGCGAGCGAGCGCCTGTTGTGGCTAACATAAGGATCCCAAATCAAAAGACTTTATTTACCCTGAATTATGGATAAACAGAATTCTGATCCAGAACAAAGGCTCTAAAAAGCTCCAGTACGATCCACAACATTGGCACCAGCACAGACAACCTTACTGATTGGGCTGCTCAAGTCACATAGCAGCAGCTGCAACCTTGCTGCTTCTTGCCACAGGTTGACAATGACATGCCTTCATCCATGCCTGCCCCAGAACTACACTGTTTTCAAGGGCTTACACATACACACACACACACACACACACACACACACACACACACACACAAGGGGGGGGGGAGGGATGAGGCAGCTCATGGTGCCCTGAGTGCTTGCCCGTGGAATATTAAGGTTCGTTTGGAGGTCTCTGAGGGTAAAATGATCCTCAAGCTCTTGGACAGTGCAGACCAGGCTCAGCCTGCATTCCCCTGTGCTTGTCTGTGTTCAGTGCTCACTGTTCCAGCCTCTGGAAGTTCGTATATTTTTTTCATGATATGAATAGTCCGAAAAGCACTCAATGTTGCCACTTCCCTTCTTGTTTAAAGGTTTGTAGAAGACACTGGGAAACATGTAGAAAGGAATCACATAAACATTATTAATATTTACCTAGCTCTCCCTCCCTCCCCCCTCCCTCCCTTTCTGCCCAAGGACAGTTTTATGCTCCTGGGTCAGGCATGCTGCAAACCTCGGGAGTTGCCTGAAGCAGAATGGAGGAGGAAAGGAAACCTCGAGTGCTGTTTAAACCAGCACAGAGGTCACACACGGAGACAAACAGTCGTACGGTAGGGAAGGAGGCTGTAGAGAAAGTAGGGAAGTTCCAGGTATCAGAAAAATGTGTGCTTAGGATCTGACTGAAAGAAAGAGACATATCAAGGGAAAAGTTGAAGCTTTCTGACTGAGGCCTCTGAAGGACAGGCAGCCCCTGCTGAACCTCATGGCTGGCTCTTTTAAAATGGGCGTGGTGTGTAGGAGGAAGGGCTTTAGAATCCGATTGTCTTGGATTTGAACCCCACCTCTTCTACTATTGCAATTTTGGGAAAGTTACTTTTCCTCATTTCTCTCCAGAATTGGGCTAGTTGTGACCGTTGCAATGAGGCCTCATTTAACTTTGGCTTACTCCACAGGTTCCAAGAGTGTTTGTCAACGGCACGTTCATCGGAGGCGCAGCTGACACTCACAGGCTTCACAGAGAAGGGAAGTTGCTGCCGCTGGTTCATCAATGTAACCTACAGAAGAGCAAGAGGAAAGCCGTGGAATGATGTGGCCATTCACCGGGACCAGCGAAATGTTCGTTAACGCAATTCCGCTTTTTAATTGTTCGAAGCTGTTTTAAGTGTGTGTACTACCTTCCTAAAGACAACTTCAAATACTGGACAATAAATTACCGTGGACCCCCTCATCCTCCTCCTGGCCAGTTTTTGAGCATGAGATGGTCTGTAAAACTGAAGGGGTGGGGTTACATCCAGAGTCAAGAATGGTTATTAGGGATTTATTCATGAATTTTACAACGAAGAGGAAGGAAGCCCTTGAAATTCTTACTCCCTTTAATGTGTGTGAATTAACGTACATTCACTGGCTGTCAGGACTGAGGACTGATGTGTGATTTCTCTAAAATTTAATGTGGTGTAGATGTGCAGTAGGCTGGGATACCATAGCGGGATAGCCTTCCTTGTTATATTGTAGATCATCAGATGGAATGAAGTTTATAGTTGGGAAACCAAACTGCTAATGACTTCATGGTTACAGGGATTTATATATATATTTATATTGACAGAAGGCAAAAAGGTTTCAGTAGAGTGAGGATGAACTTTTCGAAAAGTTCAGAAATGTATTTAGTCATGCTGTCAGTTGGAATGTTCTACCTTTCAGAATGGGTAACAGCTATTGGGAATTTTTTTTGGGGGGGGGCAGAGGTTGGAGATGAGACAGGGTCAGTCTCTAGCCCAGGCTGGCCTCAAACTCCCATCAGTCCTCCTGCCTGTTTCCCAAGCTTGGATTAAATGCTGAGCCACCATGCCCAGCCTGGAAATGTTTAAGGGAACCAGGGTATTAGAGTTTAGACTAAAGGTCCTTGCTATGGTTCGAATGCTCCTCGTCACAGACTTCACGTGTTGGACATGCATGATTACGTCATGATATGGTAAGAGGTGAGGCCTTTAAAAAGTGGTTGATCATGAGGGCAGATAGGTTAGAGCTATATTAAAGATTTAGTTACCACAGAAGGTGGTTCGTAATAAGAGTTTGTCCCCCTTACCTCTCACACACCCACACTCTTAGCCCTCCTCTCCCTGCAGTGTCCTGCTGTAGCAAGAAAATCCTCACTAGATGCCGCTGCCGTAATCTCAAGCTTCCCAGCCTACGAACTCTAACAAGTAAATCCCTTCTTCACAAATTAGTCTCTGGTATTGTTTCAGCCGTACAGATGGAGGAGAGTGCCCCTAAAGTCACTTAAATGTTATCTTACTATTTTCTAACCTGGAAGAAGTAGACTTCCAGAGTGAGGGCTTCAGCTTTCTGGTCAAGATGGCTAAGGAATCAAGGGGAGTTTGGCGGAAGACAGTGGCCTGCTGTCGGTGATCTTTCCTACATGCATCTCAAACATTTGGATACCTTGACACAGCGAGAAGTTAGACTGTTCTCTCCTGGTAGTTCACTTAAGTTGTAATGTTGGTAGGAAAAGAAAATGGCATATTTTTATTCCTTTATTTTGCATTATATCATGAGAAATTTTGCTGTTCTAAAACTCATGTTAGAGAGTAGAGAAAGTTTGTTATGCATGAGAAAGGTAAAAATCGTCACTGTCGCTTTTATTAATTATATTTAGGTATAAGGTCAGAGGCAGGTTACTTAGGTGCATAGCTATACTGACCAGGTGATTATATGGTACTTGGCTTTGAAGAACTTTCTTGTGGTAATCTGACTCTGACCTAGGGCCTGAATGCTTGGCCGGTACCTTACCACTGAACTATACAACTAATCCTTACGAAGAATGTTTCATTAGTTCTTCTTAGACTTGTGGAAAACAGAGCATGAGTGGTACTTGTTTTAAGATGAGCCATTATCAGCAGACGGCTCAAAATCATCGAAGGTAACAGGATGTCTTATCATTTATAATTTTATTTTAAAAAGAAATAAACTCTTCCAGTGTTTACCTAGTAAGTGTTCTGAATTTTATTCTCAATGACTTTAAAAAAAAAACCCAAAAATCAACAACAAAAAAACAAGATTACTTCTTGGGGTCTAGCATTGCATCCAAAGGAATTCATTTGCAAACCAGGACTCTACTCATCAACAGATGCTCAGAGGTGACGGGCTCTCGTCTCACCTCATAGCAGAGGAAAAGGGTCTGTAACAAGAAAGTCTTTGCCTCTGAGTATTTAAAGCGATGAATGTGAGGTGGCTCAGCGGGTAAAGTACTCGCCAAGCAAGCCTGATGATCTGAGTTCAGCCTCTGGGACCCACAGTGGAAAGAGAGAAGTGGCTCCTGAAGGTTGCTCCTGACTTGCCCATGTGTGGACTTGCTCTCACATGGACCACGTGCAGTCTTATGCACGACTGCACAGATAATAAGGAAATGCTGGATACAACTTAGAAACACACACACACACACTGGGCGGTGGTGGCGCACACCTCTAATTCCAGCACTCGGGAGGCAGAACTAGGCGGATCTGTGTGAGTTCAAGGCCAGCCTGGTCTACAGAGCGAGTTCCAGGACAGGCTCCAAAGCTACACAGAGAAACACTGTCTCAAAAAACAAAAAAACAAAACAAAACAAAAAGCCGGGTGGTGGTGGCACACGCCTTTAATCCCAGCACTGGGAGGCAGAGCCAGGCGGATCTTTGTGAGTTCGAGGCCAGACTGGGCTACAGAGTGAGTTCCAGGAAAGGCGCAAAGCTACACAGAGAAACCCTGTCTCGAAAACAAACAAAAAAAGACCCTATTTAAAAAAAAGACACACACACACACACACACACACACACACACACACACACACACACACGATATAGTTTGTGTTTGGGGGGAGGGCTGCATGTGTGTGGAGGTCAGAACAACTCTGGAGTCAGTTCTCTCCTTCTACTGTAACAGGGTTCCAGGGCTAGAAGTCCAGTTATTAGGCTTGTGCAACAAGTGCCCTTTACCCACCGAGCTATTGCTCAGCCTAAAGGATACAATATTTAGCTTTTTTCTTAGGGGGTTATGGTGCTTAGTGGAAAATGGCACCCAGCATGTGCAAGGTCCCTGGTTCAAGCTCCAATACTAACACATGTACACATTCTTTTTGATGCATGGCTAAGCTGGTTTTTAAAGTTGTGGCAGCTGAAGGGGAATCTATAAAAATCCAGGAGCAGGGTAGATTTCCAGAGATGTAAGCAAGCACCGAAGTCAGCGGTAGCCCTAAAGATGATTACCTAGGTGAACGTAGAACTTTAATTTGAACTCTTTCTGCTGCCTGCTTGGGGGAAGGAGACCAGCACAGCACCACAAAATTTACACTGGTAAAACTAAGTGAATTTCTTTGTTTCTTTTTTCTTTTTTTTTTTTTTTTTTGAGACAAGGTTTCTCTGTGTAACATTCCAGGTTGGCCTTGAACTCACTAGGATCCATCTGCCTTTGCCTCTCAAGTGCTGGGATTAAAGGCATGCACCACCACCACCCGGATTTAAGTTAATGTCTTAACCGGTACTTTATTAGAGCAAGGGAAAGAAATGTTAAATCCCTGTGACTTTGCAGGTAGGCGACCGGTTGGACAACCTTTGGTCTTTAGAATGTACTGACAAATGGAGACTGAGTCACCTGGAATGGAGTGCAATATTGAGGAGACAATATGCAAAGGCTACTTTTTTTTTCATATTTAAAAATACATTTTAATATATATTGATAGTAATAAATCTCTCATATCTGAGAGAGATTTATTAGAGTTGCTTACAGGCTATGATCTAGGTATTCTCCCCCAACTGATAGGTCAAGAATCTGGTAGTTTTTCAGTCCACGAGACTGGATATCTCAACAGTTTCAGTCTGCTGTTAGATGGGAGTCCCAGAGGATTCCTGTACAGTTGATGGTTTTCAGTGTGTTGGAATCCCAAAGAAGTAGGTTCTAATACCATCAAAAGAATGCTTCAGCAGCAAGAGAGATGAATTTGCCAGTGAGAGTGAGCAAGCAAAAAGCAAAAGCTTTCTTACTGTATGTCCTATGCCCTTTTATGTGGACTGCTTCCAGAAGGTGTGGCCCAGATTTAGGGTGGGTCTTCCTACCTAAATGATTCAATTAAGAAAATCCCTCACAGACATGACCAGCTGCTTGGGCTTTAGTTGATTTCAGTTGTAGTCGAGTTGACAGGCAAAGGCTACTCTTAATCACAGTGTGTGGGTTTCTTCTGTACCCCTCAGGGTTTTCTAAGTTCCTCACCTGCCTAGCCAAGACATTAGGGGGATGGGGAGACTCCAGGCTAAAATGTTGCTTTTTATTTTGAAGGTCTTGTTCTGTTGCCCAGTCTGACCTTAAACTTGGGTGATTACAGGTGTGTACCACCATACAGGCTTTTGATGTCTATAACACTGACTTCTCCCACTCTCCTTCCCGTACCATATGGCCGTAAAAAGGGTAATGTGAACTTAAAACAAAGCCCAGTTTCAGAAGGTAAAGGTGTTTGCACCAAGTCTAAAGACCCGAGTCCGGTTGGACCCACATAAAGGTGAAGGAAAGGACTACCATGTGCTGTAATGTGCACTCCCCCATCCCTCACATACACTCAAACAGACACTAAAGATTGAAAAGCCTTTGCACTTTGATAAAATCCAACTTCTTGATTCTGTGATGGAACTTGGTTGGAAATGAATCCGAAACTACACATACCTTATGCACATGCAGCTAGAGACAAAAGGACAATGTTAATTATGGAAAGCTAATTTTTTTTATCTTTTGAATTGTAACAGATGGCTTCAGGGTTTTACATATAAGGCATATTATAACCTTAAAATTCATGTTTCTTAAAAGGATAAAAAGACAGTTATTTGATATGCATAAAATTTATTTGGTACACCTATCAATTTCTACAATAAACCGGCGACAAACAGTTCATGTAGTGCCCACTCACTCCACACCTGAAATGACTTATTTAAGCATCCCTAATCTGAAAATCCAAAACTTTAAAAAGCTTCAGAATCGGAAACTTAAGAGTGCTGACATAATGCCACATGGAAAGTTCATTAATCAGACCAAATGACAAGACACAGTCAAATGCGAGTACATTAAGATAAATTTGCTTTCCTATGATATATATGAGGTTCATACAGAATATTCCAGGGATTGCATTATACATAGGCAAATAATTCTGATATTTGAAAAAAAATCTTAAAATACTTGTGGCCCCAAGCATTTCATGTAAGAGATAATCAATCAACTTGTATGCCATAGGTTATTTTGCAAGGTTCGAAGGAAAGTCAAGATATCCCAGTATTGGTGAAAACTTTTGTCATGAAATAAATGTAATAAATGAAGCATTTGTCTGTTTTTCATTAGAAAATAGCAACGATACATTGTTACACATTATTTACACTGCAAACTTGGAAGACTTGACAGGATCAGTTAATCAAAGTCCTGGAAAGGCCTGTTTGCCCTCTCCAGGCTCTGCTCCTTGGAAATATGCTAGCTGTACATCAAGCTTAATATATCTTTAAGCACCAGCATGACAATTTAAAGCACTCTTTCAGTTTCATAAGATATTCCTGCTTTGAAAGGCAAAGCGAACACAAAATGTGAACTCAATGACACAAGTCACTGGCCTGTTATTTTTATTGCAAAAGTCTTAATGTTTTAATACTATATTCATTACTCTAAATGAGTTTGCTCATAGGCTTGAACCAAAATATTTGCCTTTTGCCTCAAAAAATTTCCCTTAAAAAGCAGTTCTTTTTGGAATTATACAACTGTACTTTTCATTCAGTGTTAAATATGCAACGTGGTCCTTGGAGGTCATGTTATGGTCAGGAAATCCAGCGTCTGAATAACTGGTTATACAAAACAATAAAAAACTTTAAGTAACCATAAATATACTGATGTTGCAGTCATGTATTTATCACACATCAGCATAGCCAGATTATTCTTTTCATGTTTAAAACATTAATGTACAATCAGGTTTAATACCTAACAGTTAAATTTCCATTCATTATGTAAAATTAAAAAGCTCTAGAAGACCCTGTAAGTTCTATTCTTCAGAAACATTAGAACACTATTAAGGCATTACTTAATTAGCAGACCCTAAAGAAACTAGTATGTCTGGTAAGAAGAGCTAGTCACATTTTAAGGCAGTCAAAAGAGTCATTTTTTTTAACCACTTTAAGGCTCTTATATAACTATAATTTATTTCATGCAGACATTATTTTGGATACCTGAAAGATCCATCAGTCGGCCAATTATGGAAATGAATGTAATTATAGTCAAACAAATGGACAGTTTAGAGACAGATCGTAACACTCCTGCTCCAGTTCCTTTAAATACAACTTCATACATCTCATTCCTTTGGAGAATTCTTCATTATTAGGTTTGCAATAAGAAAATCTTAACTCAAATAAATTACAAAGCTATTCGGCCAACTGTACCAAATATATAGTCTCTATTTAGAACAGTGCAACAAAAACTGTTTTCTTCTTTAATATTTATGCACTATCTGTTTCAAAATCTAATTCAGTCATACTGGGGTTCGAGTTTACGCTTCAACAAAGGCAAGGCAGTTACTTAGACACAAGTTTCAATGCAACGTTTTCACTGATATAATTTACCACTTACACATAGTAAACAGGATGCTAACCCATTCATTTCTGTTAACCCATTACTTTTAATAATCCAAACATAAAGTGAAACCAGCAGAAATGAAGATAATTTAGTTCTTTTTTCAAATCCAGATTCTGCTAACTTAAGGTACAGAAGTTCAAACATTTTAAGATTAAAATTCACTTGTGTTCACAAAGTTAAGATGATTAAAGGTTGGGATAAATAAAGTAGAAAGGCAAAAATATCTCTAGGATCAGAAATAGCTTTTGTGTATCTTCATTCTATTTACAAATGCTCACTGGAGATAATCACAATTCAGGAATAGAATCCTGCAGATCTTCCTTTCAATTTTTATAATATATCTTATTTTTAGGATGGAGAAAAAGTGTGTCATTTGTTATTTTATTCAGGCACTACACTTAGCTACATTATTAGTTTTTTATATGAAAAATATTTTAGAATTAACGTTAAAGTTCACAGTGATTTTTTTAAAAAATGCAGATAGTTACCAATTAGAAAGATACTGAATGCCAATATAAGTAATTACAAGGCTTTTTATAGTATAAGCTCAGCATATGTGTATGTGTGCATGGATACTCACTGGAAAGACTTTGTAAACCTGGAGTCTGTAAGGATGGAACTAAGAGGATGCAGGTGTCACTTTCTGAAATTGTTGTCAATTATTAGATTGCTTATATGGTATAACACTTCTCAATAATTACAAACAGATTTTGAATAACTGATCTTATTGAATGGCCATAAAATTTCTGGAACATCTATAAAGGTATTCTCTCCCTTGATTTGGGGGAGAGAATGTATCAATCCAGGTATTATTTTAGTTATTTGGAAAGATACTTTATTATTATTTTTAATTTATTTTTATTTTTTATGTGCATTTGTGTTTTGCCTGCATGTATGTCTGTGTGATGGTATAAGATTGCCCAAACCTGGAGTTACAGACAGTTGTGAACAACCATGTGGGTCCTGGGAATTGAACCAGGGTCCTCTGGTAGAACAGCCAGTGCTCTTAACTGCTGAGCCATCTCTCCAACTCTGAAAAATATGTTCTTAAATTTATATAAAATAAAAAATAATCTGCAAGAGAGTTACCCCAAACCTCCATGTGGATGACTTTCTGGGCATGCAATTTATTACCCAATTGTATCAAACTTAAAAAAACAAAAACAAAAATGTGAGGAGACTTGCAAAGGAGAAAAATGTACATGAAATAATCCTCCACGAACTAAGAGATTAGGGAGCAAGTATCAGGAAAACAAAGTCAATTCAGAGTTAATACTGGCTCATTTCACTGCAGAAACTCTCATCTCTTCTGATCCTTCCTTATGGATGTATGACATTTCTCCAAGAGGACGACAATGTGTACCTTAACAAAACCAACTGAATCCAAGACTAGTTTTCTCATTTGGAGTTACCTTTACCACAAGCATACCACACAGCCACCAAATCTGTTGCAGTATCTTTTTTTTCCCTCTCCACTTTTACACACACATGCACATGTACGAATGCCATGGCATGCATGTGGTCAGACGACAACTTGCAGGAATTGTTTCTCTCCTCCTACCATGTGGGGTCCAGGGACTGAGCACAATTCATCAGGCTTGGTGGCAAGTGTCTTTACTCACAAAAACATCTTGCCTGCCCTGGGACAAGATCTTGAGGTCACAAGAAAATAACTCCAAGGACTCACAATGATTTAGCCTTCATTTCTTGCTTAGATGTACCTTTTCTGTGCTTCTAAAGATGGTTCTTAATTGGTATATTCTCAAATTTACACTGGTATGGTTTGTTTTTTTTCACAGTTTAGAAAAGTGAGAAACAACCTGGCAATGGTGTATTGTCAATTGCAGACTTGTGATTCAAATAGGTTAATACAGCAAGTGCTTGTTAGTGACAGCATGGTGTTACTTTGATTTTGAGCTTTGCTTTCATTTCTTCTTGGGGTACATTGCTTCTTTTTCTTTATCAGAGAATAGTGACATCTTGGTATTTATAATGAAAAATGAAGTCTGAACTAGTATTGGAAGGCCTCCTTTCTGGTTTCAATTTTAAGTAAATATTAAGCTACTGGCTCTTCTATGATCTAAGAATAAGATATGTTGATATGTAGGAGAGTAAAATTTTACCACATTTGTTAAACAGGTTGTCTGTAATGTCACAGCACGTGGAAGAAAATAAGAGAGGCTCCACAGGGTGAGGTACATTCTACTCACTAGCAGATTCTTAACACTCTTAGAACAATTACTAAGTAATAGTTTCAATAAGCGGAATTTCTACTAATAAAAAACGGTGAGATGAAAAGACTACTGCTCTGTTTTATTAATAACAACTAAGTCCTGGAAATATTTACATAGTATCTAGAAAATAAAGTTTATTTTTCTTAAGATTGTTTTTTAAAGCAGTATTTTTTCATACTATTTACTTAAGAGTAACCCTGGTGGTAATCTGGAAAATAAGACTTGTTTATCACTTGAGTATATCCTATGCTTAATGAGGTTAAAAAAAAAAAAAGCCTTTCTATGGAGCTATATTATATAGCAACATAGGCTGTTAAGACATAATTGTGTTTGAGAGTTATTCCAAATAAAAAAACCATACATATTCACAATTTCCTAAAGCAATCATGCATATTATCAATTCCTAATGTCTAAATAAGGTAAAAGTTTTGCATAATTCTCCTGTCCCTCTTGCTAAATCAATGTGCTCCCATGTATGAGAAAGGAAAAGCTAGAATGGTAAGCAGAGAGGCAAACCCTTCTAGGCCGCCCCTCTCCAAAATCATCCAACATTAGGCTGGGCATGGTGGCGTACGCCTTTAACCCTAGCACTTGGGAGGCAGAGGCAGGAGAATCTCTGTGAGTTCGAGGCCAGCCTGGTCTACAGAGCGAGCTTCAGGACAGCCAGGACTATGCAGAGAGACCCTGTCTCAAACAAACAAACAAACAAACAAACAAACAAACAAACAACCCTCTAAGATTTTTTTCCACTCTGTGATTTGAAGATAAAATTGCTTTCAGAGGGGCCTTCCTTTGTTTTCCTTTTTTCTTTCTTAAAACTTTTTTTTGAGACAGGGTCTCACTACTTAGCCCTCACTGGCTTGGAACTTGCTAAGTACAGTGGGCTGGCCTCTAACTTAGAGATCTACCTGCCCCTGCCTCCCCAGGCCTAGGACTAAGGCTTGTGTCACCACACCTGGCTTCTGTCTTCACTCTTAACCTATTTATTAGGCCTACCTAAATGCTGTTGAAGAGTCACCGCTAATCTGATTTCCTTGACGGAGTAAATGTTTGCTCCTAGACATACTCTGCTTGCCTAAAAGCACTAGCTAAACAGCAGAGAAGTAAAAGAAATAAGCACTTATATAATATTCCCTGTAACATTTCATATAAGTTACATCATATTAAAACCTAGACCATGGGTTTAAAGAAGTCAGTAGCTCTCATGTAATTCTTAGGGTTTTGAACCTTAAATTCAATTTGAATATGAAACTTGAGTGTATCAGGAGGAAAGATGTGAAACCACATGTGACCGCACTAAAGCCAGAATAGCATCAGAAGCGATGGTGTTGAGTGGGAGGTGATGCTCTCTTTGCTAATAACACTGAAGAATTGTTACTGTCTTGAAAGAATAGCTACATATCAACCTCATTAATATGTCAAATCTACCTCAAGGGGACATTTTCTTATTCTCAGAGCCTAGTTTTCTTGGGAAAGAGAAGAAAATATGTACACAAATCCTCACAATAGCAAAGACCCTTTCTTCCCCAAATAAAAAACTTCACCCCCTACACACATATAAAGTTATATAACCTACACTTACTAGTTTTTGACTTTTCATATAAAGTGAGAGGGCTTTTTAAGTCCCTAGTAAACCTTTAATATTTAAAGAATACATAAAAAATTAAAGTTTTAATATAAACTACCTTAGATACCATTACAAAATCAAGGGAAAAGCTACTGGCCTTTCAATAGGCTATTTTCACGCTAAACTCCCCAGTGAAAACACATGTCTGCTCAAGAAAAGAATGTATGTTAATATGGTGAAAAAGAAGTTTAGTTTGTACAAAACGTGTTTTTAAATTTCCTACATGGACTGACTGGTTGATAGTTGCCTACTTTAAAATTGCCTTTGAACTTGAAGGATCTAGCTTGCTTTATTATTTCTATGCTTTCTATATTTCTATCAAAAAAGAAATTAGACACAAGATGAATAGTGGACAAAAATATAAAAGACTACAGATAAACTTAATATTAGAAAAATATAAAAATTAGTTAAAGGTATTTTAGGGGTATGGGAAAAGCTATGTCTTTACAGTTGAGATTTTAATTGTTATACTTATCAGGATTATGGATGGAGGGGACTTAAGTATGGGAAACATTTTGTTTTCATGACAAATATGAAAACAGGAAAGCATTAAGTGCATGAAACACTGTTGTTGCTCAGAGGGAATCATTAAGTATGTCTCCACTTATGGCAGTAACTACAAGGATACAAAGCAAATTCCTCAGCCTACACAAACTCAACAAGTCCCTTAGGGACTTCCATCATGTTTTGACCAAATGGTAACAAATTCTAACAAGTACAAATAAAACACCTGAAATAAAACATCTTTTTCGCTGAATAAGAAAGCTGTTGTTTGTATGATCTTAGAAAACTCTGAATTTGTAAAACTCATCATAATTTGGCTTTCCCGAGTGTCTTTGTATTTTTAACCCCTGGTATGAAGGTTTACTTCGTGAGGCCCACTTCCATCACAGTCACACGGTCTAGTGCACCTCAGAGTATTTGGACATTATCAAAACTGTCCTTTTCCAGTGAAAACATTTAAGAAAACAAGCACTTCCCAAAAAGTGACGTGGGAGGCTACTTACACGTTAGGATGTCCCCTGTGTTAAGTACAAATGTGATTCCCCAGAGGAAAACGTGACTATTTTACAGTTTCTATCAAAAAGAGGTTCGCTATAGAGAAAGCTACAGTGTCCTGAAGACTTCTCAAGAGCTAGCTGAGTACATGCACCTTTGGGCTCGACATGTTTTTCCTTCCTTCCCTCGTTTCCTGTTCTTGGCAAAGTCCATTTCCACCACGCACACACTGTTGACACTTCTCACTGCTGCAGTTAGCTGGGAAGTAGCTGTGACTTTTCACTGAAGTCCACTGCAGCAGTGGACCCCTCAGGTCATTCCGGTACTTAGGGTTAAATTATATCCAACGTGAAATTTCGAATTACATCCAGAGCTGAAGTATCAAAGCCGCACATATCCAACATGCCTCTATCATCAGGGTCTGCGATGGTAAAACCATTTGATGTCATCCCACAAACAATCAATTTAGCAGGAATATCCATTTTCTGTATGAAAAATATAGGGGAAAGTAAATACATATATAATTATATGCAAGAAAAACAAACAAACAAATCCTTCAAAATTAAGACCTTTTTTTGTCGTGCTGGCCTAGAACTCATAACCCTGGTTCACCCTACCAAATGCTGGGATTACAGGTATGTGCCAAGTCTAGCTTACAGTTTTGATATACACAATACATCTTGCCTTCCAGAACTGTAATTCTGCCCCCATTCTCTCCCTGACTCCCTGCTCCATCTCCCATCTCTGTTTCTTTCTTCTTCCTAGCTATCCTTTGTGCTATGGACCAAACCAGGACCTTGAGTATACTAGATAAGAAGTCTACCACTGACCTACTGAGCTATAATCCCAGTCTCTCTAGATGTAGTTAAAATCACATAACTAAATATTAAGGAAGAAACAATCAATGAAAGTTCATTTTGTCAGGCACTATATATAATAAACCTATGAAAAATATATTTAATGATTTTGTTTGATAAAACTTTGAGACAGGATTTCACATAGCCCAGGCTGGCCCCAAACTTGGTATATAGCCGAGGATGACCCAAACTTCTGATCCTGGTGCCTCTCCTTCCAAATGCTAAGACTGTAGGTATGTAGCACCATGCCTGGTTTTATGCAGTGCTGGAGATTGAGCCTAGGGCCTCACGCATGGTAGACAACTACTATACCAACAGAGATACATCCCCAGCCCTTCTCTCTCTCTCTTACTTTTCTTTCTTGTGACAAGATCTCACTATAAGTGTAGCCCAGGCTAGTCTTGAACTCCTGCCTCAGACTCTTTTGTTTAAAGACTTTATTTTTAATATGCATGTGTGTGATGCAGGTGACTGCAGAGGCTAGATGAATCAGATCTCCTGGACCTGGAGTTATTGGCAGTTATGAACCATCCAACATAAGTGCTGGGAAATGATCTCAGGTCCTTTGCAAGGGCAGAGTGTGATCTTAGCTACTGAGCCATCTCTCTAGTCCCCTGCCTCCACACCTTGAGTATTATGATTACATGCTAAGCCACCATGCCCAGTTCTAATGACCAATTTGTTTTTGAGACAGGGTATAACTGTTGTACCAACCTTACAAAGTACGTACCATTACCTACTATGACATTTGTTAGTGAACTAATTTGTTCAGATCCACAATTAGCCAAAGAGTCTTAGAACCAATATCCATGTTGTAGAATATTAGTTGAAGATGTGTTATTTGTTTATGCTGTGGAACATTTGTTTAATGATGCAAAGATGTGTTGCATTCTTTTATGTTGCATTTGTTTAACTCTGTGAAGCTGTGTTACTGTGACTGTCTAAAACACCTGATTGGTCTAATAAAGAGCTGAATGGCCAATAGCTAGGCAGGAGGGAGAAACAGGCAAGGCTGGCGGGTAGAGAAAATAAATAGGAGAAGAGATCTGGGAAGAGAAGATCAGGGAGCAGGAGGAGAGGAGGACTCCAGGGGCCAGCCACCGAGCTACATGGTAAGCCATGGAGTAAGAAGTAAACAGACGTAGATGGTATATAGAAAGGTAAAAGGCCAGAGGCAAAAGATAGGTTAATTTAAAAAAAGCTGGACAGAAATAAGTCAAGCTAAGGCCAGGCATTCATACGAAAGAATAAGCTTCAGTCTGATTATTGGGGAGCTGGTGGGGGGCAGAGGGGCAAAAAGTAAAAGTAAAACAACCAACAACATATCCAGACTGTTTTTAGTCCAAATACTATTTCCTCCTTTATGGAACTCAAAAGTAAGGCATTCATGAGAAACCTGAACCCTACCCACAGAGTTGGTCTCAGGAGATGTCTGACAGGGTCTGCGATTTACATTTTTTTTTTTTTTTTTTGGTTTTTCGAGACAGGGTTTCTTTGTGTAGCTTTGCGCCTTTCCTGAAGCTCGTGCTATAGACCAGGCTGGCCTCGAACTCACAGAGATCCGCCTGCCTCTGCCTCCCGAGTGCTGGGATTAAAGGCGTGCGCCACCACCGCGATTTACATTTTTAATGTGAACACCAAATGATGCTACAGCTGGTAGAAAACTTATGTTGTGAGAACCACTGTTCTTCACAGCAAGTTCTGCTTAGCCTTCTAGTCATGTGATCCACGTGTTCACACTCAACAGCCTAGCGACCAGTGTCTACCATAATGGACAGAACAGTAACAGAACACTTCTGTCCAGGAGAAGGATCAAAGCAGATCTATCCCTAAGTTTAGAAGACAGACTGAAAAACGTGCTGTGATTTTATGTAGGCCTTTAGTTCTCACAAGTAATGATTTCATTTTTGTATCATTAAAATTATTAGCTGAGGTCAAATACTTATTTGGTCATTATCAAAAGCTGCTGCCAAATGACATTCTTATTAACATTTAGCACCGGAACTGGGTTATGTATGTGTTGTCCCGACTTTTTTATTTCAAGTACTGCTGAGCCCACCTGACACTGGGTTTCTACACAAACGAAGAGAACATACTCCAAGGGAATGGAGTATTGTGTGGTGTGAAACAGGTTTGTGTTTTACCTGTCGGTACTCCCTCAGGGCAACAGCAGGATGCACCTGTCCGGCAAAGGTCTCATTATCGGTGAATACAATGAAGACATCGGCAGCTGTGTTTGTCTTCTGGGCCCAGATCATTGGAAGAGAGCAATCGGTGCTACCAGCTGGGACCTAGCGCAGAAAAAAAAAAAAAAAGAAGTAGCATTGTCCAGCAGATGTCTGAAATGAATACATAAAAGCCCTACTTTTTAGAGCACCATTTTATGTAAAACCAGTATCGAGGCTTCGCCATGCCTGCACATATATATTTTCTATTGTGCTTGCTATGAGAAGTTAGAACAATTCCTTCCTACAGATATTACGCATGCCCCAAGTAAAAAAGTTACAGGACATGTTAATAAAACAGTGTCTTACTTTATTCATAGCCGTTAAAACCTGCTGTAAGGTCATGTCTGTAGTCACAGGAAACGGTACCATATCACATGCAAAAGCAACCACTGAAGACTCTTTTTCTGTTCTCGTGACCACCTGTAAAATGCAATGGTTATAATTTTCAGCATACTGAAATAATTAGTCTCTTAAAGGCTTTTAAAACTTTATCTCTGGGGGCTGGAGAGATGGCTCAGAGATTAAGAACACTGGCTGTTCTTCCAGAGGTCCTGAGTTCAATTCCCAGCAACCACATGGTGGCTCACAACCATCTATGATGAGATCTGGTGCCCTCTTCTGGCATGCAGGCATACATGGAGGCAGAATGTTGTATACATAATAAATAAATATCTTAAAAAAAAATTAGAAAAAAAAAACCACTTTATTTCTGAAAGGAATACTGTGGTGCTTATTATCCTGAAACTTGTTTTTGTGTTCCAGAATATAGTCACAGCACTGTTCATGGCTGGTGAGATGGCTCAGTGGGCAAAGGTACTGGCCAAGAACTCAATCCCTGGAATCCACAGGGTGGAAGACAGAATGACTCCTATAAGTTATCCTCTGTGGGTCTGCCTCCCCAAGAGCCAATGCAATCAATGAAGGAAAACAAATTAAAAGCATGACTCAAAAAATCTCTGAGCAACTGGTATTTACAGCACTCTCTGAGTCGAATAAACAAACACATGCTTCTCTTTTTACTAAATTAGGAATAAAGGCACAGAAGTAAAGGCTACCTTACTACGTGGTGATGGAAGCATGGTCGAGAACTGAACCTTCCTAATGCCCATCACTAGTTTCTTGAGCTTTTAAGCATTTCTTTCTTTCTTTCTCCACCCCCACTCCTTCTACCCCCACCCCGGCCCCCAAAATAGGGTTTCTCTATGCAGCCTTGGCTGTTCTGGAACTAGCTAGCCTTGAACTCACAGAGATCTGCCTGCCTCTGCCTCCCAAGTGCTGAGATTAAAGGCGTGCAACACTACTGTCCCGCTAAGCATATTTTTTTCTAGCCATCTTTCTACTCATCATCTATTTTTGCAAATATTAGTACCATTGAGTCTTGCTACAGAATCTGGCAGTTCAACACGTGCATTTTCAGTATAACTAAAACTTTGCATTATAAACTTATCTTTAGATATAAAATGGTAAATGTTACATAAGTGAAATGGCAAAATAAGTGAAAAACTAATTCTTATTTGTTTTGTTTTTGTTTTATTTTATGTGCATTGGTGTTTTGTCTGAATGTATGTCTGTTGTGAGGGTGTCGGATGCTTGTAGTTACAGTTGTGAGCTGCTACGTGGGTGCTGGGAATTGAACCTGGATCCTTTGAAAGAGCAGCCAGTGCTCGTAACTGCTGAGCCATCTCTCCCCCTTTACAGTTTTACTTTAAACACATTTTAGGGATCTCACCATGCACATTGCTGCAGCAACAGTACTAGCATTGAGTATACTACCCAGAACTCTCTGGTTCATAGATGCACTGACATCAACAGCTAGCAAGAAACGCTTCCCAGTCGGCTCGACCGTCTAAAAAGAAACAAGATGGTCATGAAAAAGTCAGAGGCTGTAAGTAGATTAAGCTTCCAAAAAAAAAAAAATCTTATTTCTTTATCTTTCATTCAAAAGGCTCTCAGAGGAAAGGTCTGGTTTTTTGATATGTAAGTAAAGTGACTAGTATTTTTAAAATTCTGTTATTAATTGGTAAAATGAAGAAAACAATGTAATCCGTTTAATTTTACTTAAAGAAGCTAAGGTCCTAGTTTTTTTTTTTTTAAGGTCCTAGTTTTTAAAACTTTTCTTAATGAAGTAAAATGGGAACTTCTAAGGTTTATTTATTTATTTATACTGTGGTAAATGATAAATAACAACGTTTACTGTTTAGCCATTTTTAAAAGTATAATTCGGCGGCATTAAGTATATATTTACAGCTTGTAAGCACTGCCTCTATATCCAGATGCTCTCATTATCACAATCCACTTAAGCAGCACCCTTAAGCTTCTGCATTCACCTTGAGCAGCCTTGTACCTTCTGGCTCTACAGTGTGTACTTCACAATGCAGTCACAGAACACACCTGGGTACCTTTTGGTTCCTTGAGTAATGCTGGGATGGTCACTAGTGTACAAGTTCAAGGTCAAGTACCTCCTTTTAGTCTTCTGGGGTACATAGAGGCTGAATTCTTGATGGTATTGTAGATTTTTTTCTTTCTTTCTTTCTTTCCTTCCTTTTTTTTTTTTTTGAGACACGGTCTTTCTATATAGCTTTGGCTGTCTTGGAACTTGCTATGTGGATCAAGCTGGCCCTTAACTCAGAGGTCTGCCTGACTCTGCCTCTCCAATGCTGGAAAAGGCATCCACTCCCGGCAGTTTGGTAGTTTTACTTTACTTTTTATGTTTTGTTTTCGATGTTTCTTTTTCAGACAGGATGTTGTTTATGGAGGCTGACTGGCTTCACCCTTACTATGTAGTCCAAGCTGGACTCTGAACTCACAGTGACCCCCCTGCCTTAGTCCCACCATGCCCAATGTAGTGGAGATTTATAGACATGTGCAGTATGCTGAGCACTAAATGTTTAACATTTGATCCTCATTTTCACTGGCTGCAACATTTTAGATTGTCACTGATAGACAATACAAAAGGGTTCCAATTTTTCCATATCCCAAAACCTGTTACTTTTCTGCTAACAGCTATCAATTAGGTACAAAGTGGCATCTCATTGTGCTTTTGATCTGGGTAATCATATTGAGCATCTTTTATGTACTTATTGGCCAATTATATAATTCTGAAAAACTATATATTCACGCACTTTTCCTATTTTTAAAATGACTTGTACTATTGAACTACAGGGCTTATAGATATTAAACCCTTTTCAGATACACAATCTGCAAATATTTTCTCCCATTATGCAGTTCTTTTCCCACTTTCTTCATAACACTCTATGAGGCACACAAGTTTCTTTTCCTTTTTTTTCCCCTTGACACAGGGTTCTTCTGTATAACCCTGGCTGTCCTGGAACTCATTCTGTAGACCAGGTTGGTCCCAAACACAGAGATCTGCCTGCCTCTGCCTACAAGTGCTGGGGATTGAAGGCGTGCGCCACCACTGCCTGGCTACAAATTTCGCAGTTCAATTTATTTAGTTGTTGTCACCTGTGCTTTATTATTCTTTTTAGTTTTCATTTTTAGCTCCTAGATTTAGGCCACTGATCTCTTTTGAAATATTTTTTTTTGAATATGCTGTAAGATACCGATCCATTTTGCTCCTTCCGTATGTAAATGTGCAGTTTTTACAGGAACATTTTTGGAAACTGTCCTTTCTGAATTAACTAACTCTGAAGTCCTTAAACAACAACTGTCCAAATGTGTCTGTCTGTTCCAGACTCTTGTTTTATTCCTCTGTCTTTATGCCTGTCCTTTCAAGAGTAGTACAGTGCTGTGGTTACTGCTGCATTGTAATGGAGTTGTGAAATCCAGACGTATGGATCCTGCAAATTTGCTTTTCCCGACTGTTGTGATTACTCGGAGTCAGAACTTTACATGGATTTTTCATTTTCTGCAAACGTACCATTGGGACTTTGATATCTGCAGGCTGCTTTGGGTTGCTAGTCTCTTCACACTCTTCTAACGGACGAGCGTGATGGCTTCCCATCAGCCCTTATTCTTTGGTGATATTTTATACTTTACAGTGTGTGACTGTTGCACACTCTTCTATTTATTCCTGTCTCTCCTCTACTGCTCTTTTAAATAGTCTCAGGTAGCCCAGGTGGCCTTGAACTTGCTGTGTTGTGGAAAGGTGGCTCTAACCTTCTGACTGCTGCTTCCACTACCCAAGTGTTAGGATTACAGATCCGTATACCAAGCCTAGCTCATTTAATGAGTGTGTGTGTGTGTGTGTGTGTGTGTGTGTGTGTGTGTGTGTGTGTAATGCATTGCTTTATAACCCATAAGTCTGTTGAATTTGCTTAACTCTAACATGGTTTATGTGTAAATTACTTAGGGTTTTCTACATAGAATAATGAACATGCTACGTGAGGCTTTTTTCTTATAAAATTACCACAACTTTCTGTACTAAGTGGCATTGAAGTGGGAAAAGTAGCCAACCTTATTCTTGATCTTAAGGAAAAGCTTTTGATGTTTTATTTGAGTATGATTATATCTATGAATTTTTTTCTAAATATAAGCTTGATCAAGGTGAGGAAGTCAATTTCTATTTTATTAAATGATTTCTGGACTTTTATTTTGGTTGTTACTGTTAGATTTTGTCAAATGGTTTTTCTGTATCAACTGACACGATCATGTGAGTCAGGGATGTCACCTGGTGATTATGCATAACCCTCTTAATTTGCTACTCAATCTGGATGTTAAGTTCTGTGGTATATCCAGAAAATTTTGAAATAAAAAATATTTTAACTTATAGCTCTGATTTCCATTTTGAAAGCCTGATTACCAGATTGATGAGACTTAGCTCCCAATTAGCAATGGAATTAAAAAACAGTACTAAGTTGAAGGAACCCAGAGAAATGCAAATTCTCAAATTCAGTAATTTATCAATATGACTTTCAAAAGTATTCAAATGCTACTGCTCAGAGTACCAAGAATTACTGATAAACTCACAACATCAATTTTGCAGCCACCTTCATACCAATTAAGAAAAACCCATGCATATATACTTTAAACTGGCTAAACTATTAATATTACCATTAAAATGTATTTTTACAAAATATATTAATCCCTCAGTCTGTTTTTTAAATAAACAAAATAAAACTATTACCTTAAATGTTTTATAAAATGCAGCATCTAATGCTTGCAAAATTTCTTTATCTGGAGTCCACTTCAGTTTTCCTCTGAGCCCATGGCCTGTTCTGTAGGTTTCTAACGCAATTAGAACATGAAATGGATGTATACGAGCCTGGAAACAAGACAGACAGGAGGTAGTTGCCAATTTCAAGTAAGAATAACAATTATGAGTCTTCAGAGTTTTATATTACTAGAGGTAATAAAGACACTTAATCAAGAAAGAACAAATATTAAACTTAGATTTAAGAATTAAATACAACTTGTCATGAGAGACGTCTTAGTTCTCCTGAGAGCCAACTTCTTTAGCTAACCAAGTCATGGGCCACACATACCTTTTTGAGCAGTTTTTCATTGCACAGCTTTTCACACACTAGAGCAACTTCAGAGTTTCCTGGTTCAAGCACTGAATTAGCAGTCATCTTTCCCAGATTCCTCAGCAGTGCAGTCAGAGGCATTTCTTGTAACAAAGCCTTCCATACCTGCAGGGAAGGAAGGAACCATAGAAGGTGAATAGCACAGCTAGAAATGTAAAGAATTGAGGGGAACTGAGTCAGTGTGACATAGCTGAATCAACCATATTAGCAATATATTCTGTAAAGCGCTAACTTAGGCTTTCAAGTACTTCCAGAATGCAAATCAACGGATCAAAGGCTTATCAAATAAGAAACTGAAGGTTTTGTGGAGAAAATATAGAGCTCCTTAAATTTTTAAGGTAGCTTTTTGTTTGTTTCTTTCTTTTTTGTTTTTTTGAGATAGGGTTTCTCTGTGTAACAGCTCCTCTGGCTGTCCTGGAATTTGCATTGTAGACCAGGCTGGCCTCAAACTCACAGAGATCTACCTACCTCTGCCTCCCGAGTGCTGGGACTAAAGGCCGCCCAGCAACGTTGAATATTTTTAATAAATATCACTTTAAAGTTATGTTTGGATTCTGTGTGTGTGTGTGTGTGTGTGTGTGTGTGTGTGTGTGTGTGTGTGAAAAGGCCTGATGTTGATGCTGGGAATCCTTACTAGCTTCTCACTTTTCTTTTTGAGGCAGGGTCTCTCTGTCAAACCCAGAGCTCCTTGATAAGCGATTAGGCTAGTCTTGCTAGTTCCTTGCTCTGGGATCCCATCTCTGGGTTCTCAGCTGCCATATGAACACTGGTTGGTCCTCTTGCTTGTCCATCAAGTGCTGTAAACACTGAGTCATCTCCCTAGCCCCTTCTCTTGTATTGGAGGGGCTGGGGACTGAACCCAGGGTCTAGAGCCTGAGGCTTCTCTTTTCAAAGGAACTTACTCACCTCTTTAGACTTCAAGTGATTTGTGAGCAGATGTTCCCTGACTAACTGGTGTTCTTCAATTAGATGAATGACTTCCAGCTCATCTTTTGTACGCTTCACTTTCTCCACAGCCTCCAGATACTTTAACAGTTTTTCAGTCTCCACAGAAAGTGCTTTTTCTTTATACAGTTCATGGACCTCTTTCCAGCCCTTTGTAATATATTTGGTCACAATAGCAAGTCCTTTAACAAGATGAAGAATTGAAAAGGCAAGTAGGATTAGTGAAAATAGAATGGACACGATCAGCTTAACTAAAGACAGGAGCTGACTCCCTCAAGTGGGGTGTTATGTTCTGCCACATAAGCATATTTAAGCAAACGAAGTGAGTTTTATGTTTTGTTTTTAAACACACCATTACTGTCTAAATATGTGGTGGTGGGAGAATCTGCCTATAGTTTAAGCTAACTGTACTACAGAGGTACTTTTGAGATACTGAAATTATAAACTTTGTAGGTAGTGTCTACTTCATGTCCATAACCTCATTCAGAGTACAGATCTATTCCAATGATTTTCATACTGATTTGTCCTATGCTTCTGAATAAATGTGGATTTATGAACAGTAGTGATTAACTGGAAACAGGAAATTAAATTGTTTAACAACAGAAATTATTACAAGCCCAATATTTTAAAAAAGGAAAATAACTTGTACATTCTTTTTACAATTTTTTTTTTAACAGTAAAAAGAGACTTGGAGTGAGAAAATCTATGTGGTAGCCTATAATTTGCTTCTGGTAATATCTTTTGCTGAAAACACTTCTTGCCTTTGAAGAGACTGAATTTTGTCAGACCTTGAAACCAACTGAAAATGCCTTGGGATCATTTAAAACTACGTACTCAACCTGCTGTTATGGAATATTAATTTAAGATGTGTTACATTCGTTTATGCTGTGGATATCTGTTTAATGATGCAAAGATGTGCTGCATTCTTTTATGTTGCATTTGTTTAACTCCGTGAAGCTGTGTTACCTTGCCTGTCTAAAACACCTGATTGGTCTAACAAGGAGCTGAATGGTCAATAGCTTGGCAGAAAAAGATAGGCGGGGCTGGCAGGCAGAAAGAATAAATGGGAGGAGAAATCTGAGAGGATGGAAGATTGAGGAGCAAGAAAAGAAGGGGCCAGCCACCCAGCCACACAGCCAGACACGGAATAAGAAGTAAAGAAAAGATACACAGAAATAGAGAAAGGTAAAAGCCCAGAAGCAAAAGGTAGATGGGATAATTTAAGAAAAGCTGGCTAGAAACAAGTCAAGCTAAGGTGGGGCATTTATAAGAAAGAATATGCCTCCATGTGTATTTATTTGAGAGCTGGGTGGAGGGCCCACAAAGAGTTAAAACAAAAAGAGAAACAAACAAACAAAAAAACAAAACTACAACCCTGTTATCCTACTGTGTACTTAGCTGTTTTAAATTCAACCTGCCTTAAGAAAACAATGTAACCAACTTTACTATGCCTTGGATTTCCCATATAATCAGCTTTTACAACTTAAGCAAATCTTAAAGTATGTACTCCTCCATGCCCCTGACCCACACTATTTATGTGTGTGTGTGTGTGTGTGTGTGTGTGTGTGTGTGTGTGTGTGTGTGTGTGTGTGTGTTGTGGTAATTACATAAGTTAAAAGCAACTTAAAACAACAAATATCTCAAAATGTTGGAAGCGATATTTGGATATAGGTTGATAACATCCATGCTGGTTTTAAGAGCTATTTTGGTCTGTGTGGTTCAGTAAAGTAACTTCTTCCCTTGTAAACTTTGTTAAAGATTCTGACAGAAAAGTATCCCTTATGCCTTTCCCAGACCATGTTTTCTGTGCTGTTCAATAAACACAGAGCAAAGCCCTTTGTCAGGACAGGCAACAGGAACAGATTAGTGACAAACTACAGACAGACAACAGATAGGGCATAGACCACCAACTGCAGACCGAAGGAAGACAGAGAGAGAGAGAAGTGGAGAATTCAAATTTGGGCTCACTCTTGGTCTAAACTACTCCAACAGGAAGTATCTTTTTTCATTCCTTAATGCACATTTCTGATAAACTGTAACCTTTTTACCTCTTAATCTCCAAATCTGTAAAGGGTAGAGATTAACAAATTCAGGTGACAATATAGAAACAGGTCATGGTGATCTAAAAACTGTCAGGACTGTGGTGGCCAGAGAGCATCAACTGACATGCACTGGTTTAGTGCTGTCTCCCCTGCAGCCCCCGCCTAGAAAAAAAGGACTTTCAAGAAGTCTTGAGTCTCTGTGCATAGGCCTCTAATTTTAGCTCCTTAGAGAATGAGGCAGGAGGATCTTGAGTTCAAGGCCAGCCTGGGCAATTTAGTGAGACCTTGCTTCAAAATAAAAAAGTTTAGAGGGTGAGAGATATATTAGCTCAGTGACAGAGAATTTATCTTGTATGTGTATAGCTTAGGTCTAATCCTGGAATGAATAAGTAATGAAAAATAATAAAAGGTTGGGGATATAGCTCAGTGCTTTATAGAATACTTGCCTACCATGTATGAGGCCTCAGGTTCAACCCCAGCATGGTCAGCTGATCTGAAGGCAGGTCAGAACATAAATTTTTATATGAAGTCTTCTGATTTTTTAATATACTGACAAAACTTAATTTTTTTTCTTAAAATATTTTTATAGGCTAAATGAAATATATCCCTAAGTAAAACTGAGCCAGCCTATGTGGTATTTTTGAACTCTAATTTAGATAATTCGACCAAAAGTTAATACTAAGATGCAGGAATTTCTACAGTATTGTAACTTGCTACCACATTACAGATTTAAGACAAAGCTGTCTTAAATGCTTCACATAAAAACGCCCTCTATGCTGTTTTTCCAATAAAAATAAAAACTCCTTAAATCCACAGGTACATGATAAATCCTTGATTAACAGAATTATACTTTGACTTGTTTTGTCTGTTATAAATACACATTTTAGTTAATACATTAACATATATATATATTACTCTAATATTGTTCAGAGTTTGTTTAAATTTCTTTTCACCTAGGGATCGTCTATGATGTTGCTGTTATCAACAAAACTTGAATATGAGCTTTGCCCTCAGCAACTTAGAAAGAAAATTTCACGTGGAAGTGAGTTTAGGGAACATCTTCTAGTCCTGACTTTATAGACCACGAAAAGGAAGCCCGTACAATATCTCCTGTTCAGAGACTAATCGGTTCCTTATCACTAATAATCAGGGGTCTTTCTACACGGAAGTGCTTGCTCTGTACTGCCCCAGTGTCAAAACACAGAGTAAAATGACATCCACTCTATATTAGATCAGATTAAAAAGTAAAAAAGGTATGTTTAAGGAAAAAAACCACATGTATCTCATGTGTGTGTGATTTTAGGATGGAAATGGGTTTTTCAAATCTAGGGAAAAATTGAGGAAGTGGCTGGAGAGGTGGCTCAGTGGTTAAGAGTGTAAAAACTTGCTTTTTACAGAGGACCTGGGTTTTGGTCCCAATACCCATGCCAACTGCTTTTATTCACAAAACATAATGTTGATGAATGAAGTCAGATGGATTTAAAGCCAGCTGGACACTGAATACTTGCTACAGATAACCCAGCCGTTAATAGGAATCATGACCGATTGACAGGTTAATAGTTTACATCCTAAAATGGGACCAGTTGTCTAGAATGCTCACCAGTGACTATGTCTGTGAGTGCAGTATGGACAAGGTTCAGGGTTAGTAAGCATACATCTTCTTGACAGCAGGTGGCAGACAGCAAAACTGCACTGCTCTATTTCCATTCTTCCCCTCTCTTGCTAAAATCTGCCTGTCATGGATCTGGAAGGCTATGCTCAACTAAACATTTGGGATACTAACGTATGAAAGTACCTGTGGAAAGGGACTTGAAAAGTTAGTTGCAATTACAGTAATTACTTGTAGATGTAACAGTCTTATTAAATAAGAAACATAGAACCAAATGCAGAGTTAAAAGCCCAAGAGGTCAGAGCAGTAGCTGAGAGCTGAGACTTAAAACTGCCTTCTTACCCTTCCTGCCACTGCTGTCCTTCCCCTCAGCAAGAGACCTACTTCCTATGTATCTGTCTTTTTATTGACTTTCTGTTCTGCCTTCTCATTGGTTGTAAACCCAACCACATGACCTCCTCATCACTGCCTGTCTATACAGACCTCCAGGTCTTCTATGGTTGGTATTGAGATTAAAGGTGTGTGTCTCCATGCTGGCTGTATCCTTGAACACACAGAGATCTGCCTGTCATGTGATTGGGATTAAAGGTGTGTGCCACCACTGCCCGGCTTCTGCTATGGCTTGCTATTAGCTCTGACCCCTAGGCAACTTTATTTATTAACATACAAATAAAATCACATTTCAGTACAAATAAAATATCACCATAATTACTAATCTTTCTTAGAAGGGAAATTAAAACCTAAGTATTAATAACTCAAAGTATAAAATCAGCATGTTCAAACTTTGATTATCAATGTCAAGATGACCTGTGGCAGGTCTTTAGTTTCAAGCTGGTTTTAAATATGTCTGGATTAATTAAACAGCATTATGGTTGGTGAGTGAAAGCTAACTCTAGAAAATGAAATGAAATTTTGCTACTTATTAATCACTATGTCTTGCTACCCTTTAGGAAAAGCGTATGCTTACCTTCGCTGGAAGGTTTAAGATGTGACAGTCTTAAGAGGTCTTTGTGAGACCAGCCATTTCTCTGTTTATACTTCGTAACGGCCAGAGCAATGGCCATGCCACCCTTCTCATTATACCAGTCTGCCACGGCCTTCCGGAGAGCACGACCCCACATGCCGCACCTCATGCTTTCCTTCAGGTCCTTCTTGAACTGGATGAAGGTGAAGAGGTGGGTTGGAATGCGACAGACCTCAGGCACAGCTTTAAAGGCTGCCTGCTTTGTCTTTATGTCCGAACACTGGGAACAGATGGCAAGGGCAAACAGCAAAGGCTCTTGTTTGGCAGTCCTGCCTTCCTGACTAAAGGACTTGATTTCCTGTATCACTTCGCCTCCTCTGCCATCTTCAATCAGTCTGATTAAGGCTTCGGCATTTTCAAGACCCAGCTTCTGTTCTTTGATATAGTAGGTGCCACCTTCAGAACCAAAACACAAGAAGCGGTGCAGCCGGTTCATGTCTGTGACCTGCCATACATATCCGCCCTCAGAGTTGGCTACCTGACTCTCGGTCAGCGGCTGCAGCTGGTCTGCAGATTCTTCCATCTTCCTTGTCCTCTGGGAGACCTATCAAAAAGGCAAAATGTTATTACAAATAAATGGAGTCAATACGACTTTATAAAGGCAAACGACAGGAAATCTCTGCTTACTGAAATGTTATGAAACTTTTTAATTGAAAAACATCTTTTGAGCTCAGTAAGTTTTTCCCAGTAAAACATCACTATAGATGTCAAGAAAAATTAGAAAAGGCAGAAAATAGAAAAAACAAAACAAAACCCTCAAAATCACATGTGATCATCTAGCAGCAACTTAGAGTAAGACCTTGCTTATAATTTAAAACTTTTATTATCTACTCATATATTTTTATAATCTAGAGAAATCCCAATTCTTCAAAGGAAGTAGTATAATGATCACAAATAACAACTAATTTTTAAGGTGTAATATAGTAGGTCCACTTAATCAAGTGGGTCAGTCAGTGTGAGCTCGGAGGGCCAGATAAGGACAAAAGGGGGCAACTATAGCCAACACTAAGAAAAGTCAGCTCCCTAAAGAACTGTGCATTGCTGGTCTCCATTCCAACACTTGCCCTCACAAAGGGAGCACAGGGCAGAGGGTTTCAGGGAAATAATGTTTAGCAATGTCAAATGCTTGGAGTCCATCATCTAAGTAAAATGATGATGGGGAGTGACTGTTGCCGTGGCTTGGGAAACAGAAGTAACCAGCAAACCCAAGTGTAGTCGAGTGCCAGGAGAAGGCTGAGTCCCTTGAGAACAGGAGACTGCAAGCCACTCCACAGAGCTGCTCTCTTCCCAGAAGCACAGCTGTGAGCTATAAAGGAAGGGCGGACACAAGCTGCAAGCCAGAAGAAAACTTTCTTGTTGTCACACCCGGGGGTGTGACACTGAGGCTGATGTTGAAAGAGTCAGCCTGGAGAATGGACAGCGGAGAGAGGGGAGAACTGAGCGAGTGAGACACCTAAGAGAAACAGGACGGAAGGGTTACGGTGCTGAGTTCGAAACTGGCTCATGGACGACAAAAGCGCCTTCTCTCTGAGGGTGAAGAAGTGCTAAGAAGGAGAACTCAAGAGAGATGAGAAATGAAGAAATTCCCGTCTGGGGAAAAAGCCACAAGGTAGGTGGGGAAGCCAGGTAGCTGGGGGAACTGGGATACCACACAGCAAACAATGGTGTAGGGGTAAGTGCAGGAGGGGACTGGACAGTCTTCCATTCTGAACGTGACAAAGGGGACAGTGCTTAGAATTTACATCGGAAATGTCAGAGTCAACATTTCAAATAAAACTTACAAAGCTGCTTATGTTAGGGCTGGTGTAGGGTAGGGCTCATGTGGTCACAGAGAAAGTGACCACACGAGGGATTAGGGAAGGCTTTATAGTTACAGAGGACAGGCTGAAATTCCTGGTGCTTAAAGCCTCTACCACTATCGTGTCCTCTATTTAGCTTGCCAATTTTTTTTTAAGAGGCAGAAGAACATTTCCAGCGACTCCACTTTCACTCATAACTCCGAGTAGAAATTCTTGTCATTTGATATTTACGGTGTAGTTACCATTACGAGCCTATTCTTAGCTTTCACAAAAATACTGTGATGGTACTCCAGCCTGTCTATTCCAGCTTATTCACACATGTTAGCAGAGAAACACTGACATGGTATTTAACATTACGTTATTCTTCTATTTCTGTTTTCCTCCCCCAAAGTTCAAATGGGGGGATTTAAAGATCTGAGCCCAAACTTCAAAAGAGATCTTTCTTATTCTTATACATCACTGGTTCCTAGAAGAGCAAGCAAGGACTGGGTTTTATGTTAAAATCTTTCTTCTACATCTAGAACATCAAAGCTAAGTAAGGAGTAATATACATTAAAGGAAAACTAAATAGCATCAAAATTGATTTTGGGGGTTATGTGCTTAATGGAAATAATGCACAATGGATTTTCTTTTCTGTAATTCACTTTTTTTTGAAAAAGCCTCACCATAAATGATGAAAAATTTACAATTCCTTATGATAAATCCTGCCAATAAATTAATAAATTTTGTTTTGTTTTGTTTTTGAGGCAGGGTTTCTCTATGTAGCCCTGGCTGGCCTAGAACTGGAAGACAAGGCTGGTCTCAAACTCAGAGATCTGCCTGCCTCTGCCTCCTGATTGCTGGGATTAAAGGCGTGCACCACCACCACCTAGCTATAAATGTTTTATATGTAGGAAATACAATCAAGAAGCAAAGTAATAAGAACTGGGCAAAATGTCAACAGAGAACAGTATTTCTCTGTTAGGTTTTCCTGCGGTCTCCCGGACCAGGCTGGCCTGGAGCATGTAACCCTCTTGCGTTGGCCTCTCATGTCCTGTGATTACAGTTGTCACCAAACTCACTTCTACCACTTTAAATGGAAATACAATTTATGAGGAGGCATCATCTCATTCTGAAGTCTGCACTAGTCTTCAACAGACTAGACCAAACCAGAACATAGTGATTACATCGTGATTGCAAGTTAGATGCTACAGGATCAAACCAAAAATTTAAGGCACTAGACAGATCCTCCAAAAGACCGCCCCCAAAATAGGAACCGCTAATCTATCTGAGTCAACAAGGAAGTCCCTCCTAATTTGATTCTTATAAAAAAAGTAACTGATGCTAACCAGGCAGTTTTCTATGATAAAGATCCCTGCTTTGCCAGTGTGCAATGAGACTACTATGTCTTATAGAATAAGGTATTGACCAATTCTAGAATTATAAATAAAAGACAGGTAATATTTTTAAATTTGTTGTAGTTTCATCTTTTGACACAAGAAGTAATTTACCAGTGAACTCTTCCCTTTGCTTATTATGCCAAAGACAGCCAAAGAGATGTGCTCCTCCAGTATTCTTTCAGCATAAACAGACTTTCATATGCTTCTCTGACTATACTTTCCAGGGTACAATGTGAAGCAGCAGAACAGACAGAGGGACGATAGAAAGGCACGGAAAGGAAAATTACAAGGACAATAAAGGAAAGGAGTCCCCAGCTCCTCTAAATCCAGCTGACATCTCTCACTGGCAGAGAGTCAAAAGCTTTTACAACTGACCAAAACATTTCAAGACTCCCTTCAAAGAATGATACTTTGCTTGCTGAGACCTACCTTAAGAAGAGCATTAAAACAGCTAACGGCCAATCCTTAAGGTCAAGATATATATCTTATACATTTGTAACCTTTGATTTTTAAACTTACCAGTAACTCAATTCTCATCAATAAAACTGAAAAATGTACCTCATCAACCACTCCACAATTTTATTCACAAAAGGAATTTCTTTAAAAAGCAATGAGCAAACTAGCTTATTTTTCATTTTAAGCTTCATTTACTTAATCTTTAAATCTAATTATAAACTATGCCTTCTGAGTAATATAAATTTAAAAGCTACAACAATCACCCATACAGTTACTATTACAAAACCCAAGAGTCATCGTTATGCCCATATTCTAACCTGTCTTTCTGAGTATCTTTTTTCTGTGTGTGTGTGTGGTGTGTGTGTGTGTGTGTGTGTGTGCGCGCATGTGTGTTTGGTGACATTAGATGTTGTGAAAGGAAAGAAAATTCCTAGAAAGAAGCTGTGTGTGTGTGTAAGGGCTGATGGACTGATTAAGACCCTTGACAGCCAAAACAATCCTGAGCAAAAATAAAATCAAAGGATGCTGTGAAAACTAGATGTTCACGTGCAGAAGAATCAAGTTAGACCTGCATCACCTTGTACAACTAAATCCAAACAGATCCAAGACCTAAATGTGAAACAGGGTGATGGTGATAGGGACTCTAATTAGAAGTGGGGAGGGAGGTCACTACAGAAGAAGGAAAGGAAGGAAGGGGGGGTAAAATAACAGTATGGATGTCTGAAAAAGTCATAAGGAATCATATTATCTATTTACCTAAAATTACATATAAGTCAGTGTAGACATAGTTTAAATGACATCTGGCTACCTGGGCTGACAATGCTTTCCCCAAGATCCAGAGACCACCTAATAAAAACCCCAACACTAGGTATGAGAAGTCCCCTTTTGACTTGTTGGTCGGGGTTGTCTAAGAGATTCCCCCAAAATTATAGGCTATTGCTGTTGCCTATAGCTGCCTCCCAGAGCAGGAAGGTTAAGTCCTTCCTTATGGCTGAAGACATCATGTATTTCAGACACTTGACCAAGAGGGCTCCAAATGGACCTGACCTGCAAGCCTCCTCCCCGAGGACTAGTTTTCAGGGTACCAGAAGGTACCATGCAAGCTTCCAAGAGAGGGAAGCAGCTAACGGTCCTACCTAGCTATGATGCCTATGAACTACAACGACCAGCCTGGCTTCAGACCGACTCATCTGGAAACTATCCTCTGCAATGGAAGTCAGGGGGCACCAGCTACATCTGAGCTTAGGTCTCTGAAGAGAACTCCCTCAGGCTGTAGAGCCGGCATCTTGGAACTGCATCTTGCTGTGTTGGTGACTAGGTCACCCACAGCACTCTTTATTTCCATAGATATCAGGATAAAAAAATTTAAATATAGAGAATTGAATGGCAGTATATTTCAAGCTATATAGTCTCCTTTTTGTCATTCAGTACTGAAATACTGATTACTTTAAAACTGGCAATGTTAAACGACATGGTGATGCAGTGGTTCCTGATAGTTTCAAAATCCCTTGGAATGTACCAACTGCTGGGAGTATCTTAGTAATACTAATGAAGTGACTCATTCTGAGCCTCAAAAACAGGTTCAAGATTCCCATTAACTAACAGTAGCTTAATTTCTTCTTTCTTCAACGACAGTGTCTCCTTCCTCAAAACTTAAGCTCCGATCCAGTGGTTTAGAAAGCAGCTGGGCAGGGAGGCAAATCAAAGTCTAGTTATCTGGCAATCTACTCCTATAATAATCAAGTGTATCTAAGTCAGCAAGAATAAAGTTAATTCTTCTTTCAATTGTTCTGACCTTTTTAAACACAACAGTCTCAAAAATTTATACCAGTTGAAGTTTTATTAAATCTCTATAAATTAGTATGTAAAATGAATTAAAAATTTTTAACAATAAAAAACTATAAATTAAAGCTTTGAGAGACATTAACTTAAAAAAAACAACATTTTGAGTGTTCTACACTTGATCTTAGGTATAAGGTTGTTCTATATGTTGCCCAATCTCTTCTGAACTTAGAATATAAAATAGGTAGACACTGGTAAAAATACTGGTGTAATATATTGTAATCATCCAAATTACAATATATATTTTTACCATTACTTGTGGTGATACTGTGTCCCCCAATATACTGTGCACCCTAATAAACTTATCTGGGGTCAGAGAACAGAACAGCCACTAGATATAGAGGCCAGAAACTGGTGGCACACACACCTTTAATCCTAGTATTCCGAAGGCAGAGATCTGTCTGGATTTCTGTGAGTTCAGAGCCACACTGGAAACAGCCAGGCACGGTGACACACGCCTTTAATCCCAGGAAGTGATGGCAGGAAGCAGAAAGGTATATAAGGCCGTGAGGACCAAGAACTAGAGGCTGTTAAGTTTTTAGGCTTTTAGCAGCAGTTCAGCTGAGGAACTGGTGAGGCAAGGAAACTGTGGCTTGTTCTGCTTCTCTGATCTTCCAGCATTCATCCCAATAACTGGCTCTGGGTTTGTTTTTATTAATAAGACCCTTTAAGAGTCGTGCTACAATTACTAATATAAATATTCCTGTATTTTCTTTCAATCTACACATCTATGAAATCAGTATCTCTGAATCATCTGTTATTTGAAAATGCTTTTTTTTTACCCTGAGAAGTCAAACAAATATGCAGTTTCTTTTAAAATGGAAGCTAAGAGTAATTTACACTTATGAAGTTATACTACATTACAAAAACTAGGACCACAGTTCAAATAGGAATACCATACACAAAGGTAATGCAAATAAGTGTCTCAAGCGCGGGGCAATTAAAAAGTATTGCGCACTGTGGCAAGATGTCACCATGGTAGTATGCTCTGAACACTGTTTTTTCCTCTGGAAGCCAAAAACCTTCCTTGGAACATGCTTTTAAGAAATGCTGAAAAATTATACTCTTTAAAACTATTGTAACACTACGACACTCTGTAGGAGTCCTAAGAATGAGAAGTATTAATCGAAAGTAGCCATTTTTGCTTTAATTCATCAGAACCATTTCAAGTGTTTTTAAAGTAATGCACTATATTAAGAGGGGAGGAAAAAGCTCATTTCTCCGTAAGGCACTGAATCCTGATACACAAGTCTCTCATTCCTTTGGACTTTTAGGGCAATTAATAAACAAATCGTTTATTATTCCTCTAAGAGAAATTCGCTTTCCGTCTTCCCCACAAAGCTCCTTCCCAAACCCGTATCCGAGACAACGCCTCTGTACCAAAGCCGCAGGAGGAGGGGGGGGGGGGAGAAAGTGAAAAGGGGCCTTGGCACGCCCGCCCGCCCGCCCGCCAGGAGCTTTGCAAGCAGCAGAGTCGTCCCGGGTTCCCCAAGACCCCACCCTCCGGTGCAACCGGGCCAGGCCCGCAATGTCCCGACGGGGAATCGGTCCTGCTGCGGGGCGGGAGCGAGGGCACAGCGGCGGCGAAGGCTTTGACTGGCCTCTGCTGCTGGGATGCCGGTGGGAAGAGAGTGCGCACCGGCTCGACCTCGAGTGCCCAGGACCGCTCGGACCGCACACAAGCCGGTTCCCCGCCCCACAGTAGGCCTCCAGCGACCCACCTACCTGTGCCTGGAAGCCGACGCTCTGGTCCCGCGGCGCCTAAAGGAGAAGCCCTGCGCAGCGCGGGGAAGAGGCGGCGGCCAGAAAGGGCGAGGACAGCTCCAGGTCCAGGTCGGAGCGAGCCCCGCCCCTTTCCTAGCCCCGCCCCTCCCATCGCCCCGCCCCAGCTCCGGAGGGCCAAGGGTCCCGGATGTGCCTCCCTTCGGCGCTCCGAGGCCCCGCCCCTTCTCCCGCCCGGCGGAGGGCGTTCTACGGATCCTGAGAGGCCGAGGAGGAGGAGGAGGGGGAGGAGGTGGAGGAGGCGTGTCGACGTCTCCTGGGTGGCTAGAGCGTCTTTCTGCGCTCCGTCGCGCGGCAGGTGACGGCGCCCGGAGGCTGTCGGGAAGTAGGCGGGGTGACGTGGGGTTGACGCTCGGCGGCGGGTTTTGCTGAGGTCCGCGGCCGGTCGGTGGTGGCAGCTGGTGCTTGGGGGCTTCGGAGAGCGCGAGGTGGAGTGGGGCGGCGTGTGGCCGGGGCCATGACGAGCAATGCCGGGGAGTGGTGTCTCATGGAAAGCGACCCCGGGGTCTTCACCGAGCTCATTAAAGGATTCGGTGAGCACCAAGGGGACCGTCCTTGGGCCGGGGGTTCCGGGAGGAGGTCCACGTCGGGCCAGGTGGTCTCCCCTGCCGCCACCGGCGCCCGGCGTCGGAGAAGTGACTTCAGGGACCGGAGTCGGCGTGCGTGGAAAGTAGGGCTTCTTCGGCCGCGTCCTCGGCCCGGGGCAGCCGCGTCTACGCAGTGATCTTGGGAGCCACACCACGAGGGCAAGGATTCCCCTCTGCCTGGTGCACTGCTGTCTTCTCCGGACTTGGGACTCGACTTGCATTGACTCGAGCGTCTGCCTTCCCTGTCTCCCTCCCTCCGCATCTCCTCCGTGCTTCTCTTGTCCTTTCCACTGTCCCTTCCCTGCGGAGCCTCCCGGTCCCCGGTGTGGTCAGGTGCATCGCCCAGGCCGTCGGTCGTGCGGAGCAGCCGGTCTATAGGGCGTGTGTTTTCCAGGGTGGTGTCTGAGGCCCCAGGCGCCCGGGAACTCGAGATTCTAGTTTCTCACAGCCGAAGTTTCACCTTTCATGTGTGGGCACCTCTTCCGGACCGCCACAGATGCCGACTACGCGGGCCTGCACGCTGCTGCCCCAGGGTCTTTTACTCCCTCCTTTTTGGCTTCCGGTGAAGTGAGTTTTCTTGAGGTAGTGCTCTCGCCTAGAGGCCACATGCTTACCTCTGAATTTCTTTCCGACTTTTATTTCCTTCCGTACTAGTCAACCAATAGGACGTTTATCCTTACTTTCCCAGCCTCTGTGGTTTTTTTTTCCCATTTTAATTTTTTCTCAAGTATTGTTTTTTAACTTTTATTAAAATTTGTACCTGAGATAGAGTAAACATTAGTGTAGATCTTGTTTCTTGTACATGGCTGAATATTTGGAATATAACCTAGCATATGTTCAACTGTACCTCGAGCATATGGTTAAGGATTGGGAAATTTTAATGTGAATAACCGGATTGCTGCTCTGAAGAACTGAGAGTTCAAACAATAGTAATAGGTGTTCTTACATTAAGAGTGTACAGGAAGTGTTTTAGACATATAGATCATGGAGGAGCTGAGCAAAAGGAAGCATAATTTGAATTTAGTTATCTGAAGTGCAGTTATCTGAACGTAGCTTATGGAGCAGCTAGCAAAGTCACTAAAACATGGTATAATGAATGGGCGGGAAGAGAATAGATCTTGGGTGGAAAGGTAAAGTTCTGCTAAACTATATACCATATTGTATAGATTGGGTTGTCCTGTAGTCACTGGGGACTTAGTCCAAAAAAGACTTGAATGGAGGTCAAAGCTATTAAAATAAAATAAAATTAGTTTGTGATTAAGATTGATTATGCCTATAGTGTTCAGAGTTATGATAAAATGAGATGAGGAAATCTTTTGGAAAATGGTAAGTTTGTGGGAGATTGGCCTGACATTAAGTCATGGGCTACAGAGGAAGTAGAGTTAGTATTTACATAGTATTTCAATTTCAAGTTGCATGTGGAAGTACCTTCTCCTCCTCCTCTTTGGAGCAGGAATACATCCAGAACATGCTACATTACACAAGGAGTTCTCAGGGCTGTCAACCTTACAGTAGAGGTTGAGTGGTAGTATATTTCTCCTACACAAATAGAAACAAATTATTAACAAGATTGCTGGTTTACTGAATGCAGAAAAGAAGAGACAAAAGCGACTAGTTACTAGCCTGAGTGGCTAATAAAGTGCAATTAGAAGACTAGGCTTGAGAGGAAAGAAAATTAGATCAGTTTTGATCATCTACTGAATTTGAAGTGTTTGCAGGTTTAGTGATAAATTTTACCTTCAGAATCTTTTTTTGTTTGTTTGTTTTTTGAGACAGGGCTTCTCTGTGTAACAGCCCTGGCTATCTTGGGAACTCACTTTGTAGATGAGGCTGGTCTTGAACTCACAGAGATCTACCTGCCTCTGCCTCCTGAGTGCTGGGAGTGTGTGCCACCACCGCCCACTGACCTTCAGAATCTTAACTAATATCGTTTAAAAAGTTGACTTTCAGAGATAGTGGCCCAAGTGAATTTATTTTTAAGTTAATACTGCAGTCTAGGGCTGGTGATAAAATAAGTGGGCAGAAAGTGCTTGCTGCCCAAGCCTGATAACCTGAGTTGCATCCCCAGAAACCATGGTAGAAGGAGCTAAACCCCTCCTGAAAGTTGTCCTCTGAATTCCACACACTGTTTGTGGCATGTGCACATTAGTACTCTTGCACACATACACAATAAAAAGAAAGAATGTAGTCCATCAACCATCTATTGTTTTCAGTTTCACATATACATTTGAAAATAAAGTTAGACATTAGAGTAATAATACAGAATGCGTTTGCACACATTAAATAGAAAGCAATAGTTATTAATGGATTGACTCCTAATGTAGAAGAACTGCAAAAAGTTAAATAAAGGTAGTTTATATCATCAGCTGCTTCAAAGGAAAACTCAACTTTATTCCAATTTTTTCCATCTTTTTCCTGCCCAGTTCTTATATTTACAATAGGGCTTGGAAGTTAATTCTTTTGAAAGTGAAATGTCTGCTTGCATTATGAATACTACTGCAGATTTCTTTGAAATGAACTCACTAACATTGACTAGGCTAGTATCTACTGTGTATATACTTTTAGTTCACTGTGTTGATCCAGGTGTAGCAAGGTACAGAGGTCTTTGCCGTGAGAGAGGAAGTCTGGTGTAGTTTCCTCATCTATAACTACTGGCTCATGCCTTAATACAGATGTGAATTACTTGGGTCCCACGTGGTTCCTTGAGATTAGGTCTCCTGTGATCACATCTAAGGTGTATTTTACTTTATTCTGAGGAAAGAGATAAGTTAATACTTGGCTTTGATACAAGAAATGTAGTTTTGGGAGGTTCATAAGTATTGTTTATAATTATTGGGATCCCCCAGGCAACACTGGTTCATTTAAAGGATGAGTTTCTAAGTTAGGGCTCTTAGCTAAGTTCAAATTGTATAGTCCTTTTTCAGAGAGGTTGCGTATTCACATCACCAGCCTCTTGGCATATGTATAATGTATACAGTGATCATGTATACAGTGGGTTAACTGAGAAAGGGTTGAGGAAAACTTATGGGAGTGTTTTTGTTTTTTTTTTTGGGGGGGTGTGGAAACTGGAGTCATTCGTACTGCTTTTGGTTGACTTGGTGATGATGTTAAGATAGCATAGCAGTTGTTTAAGGCACTCGCAGCATTTTGGGAGAACACCACCAAAGTCTTTTTCATAGGGAAGGGTGCTCTGTGTGTATTTTTAAGAAAATTATTGTTCTCTACAGTTTGGAGATTCATCCCTGATAGCCATACTCTTGGTTTGGAATACGTGAGTTTATTAATTATGTAGCAAGCTAAAGTAAGAAAACAAATGGCAAAAGATGGAGAGATAAACATCAAATGGGGATTGAGGAGATAGCACAGTGGTTAAGAACATGTATGCTTATAACTGTAACTCCAACTCCAGGGGATCCTTCTGGTCCCAAAGACACCTGAACTCATGCGTGTGCACACGTACAGTTAAAAAATAAACACTTTGGAAAAAGCGTCATCGTAGGCTGGAGAGTTAAGTTGACTGAACAGTTAAGAGCACCAGTTGCTCTTCCAGAGGACCTGAATTCCATTCGTAGCACTCACATGGCAGCTCACAACTGCCTGTAACTCCAGCCCCGGGGGATCCAGTGCTCTAGTCTGACTTCTATAAGCACCAGGTGTGCACATAGTGCACATACATACATATAGGCAAACACTTATACACATAAAATAATAAAATAAATAAATTTAAAAAACCCCCAAACCAAAACACTATCAAATCAGGTTCTCAAAACATTCAGTGGAAATCCACTGGGGAAGTCCCTTTGAGGTAGCTGACTGGAGTTCCCCAGAGAATTCTGAGCAGAGCAGAATGTCCCCTCCAGTGAGGCTTCCAGGTAAAAGAACAAATCACAACATTCACAGCATCCAGCAGAAACTAACTGGGGAAGTTGAGGCCAATTTAATGATGTTTACTATCTACCTGTAACTTACTGATTGTTCATTTACTTTGACTTGCTATATATTTAATAAAAGCACTCATTCAAAACCAGATGTATGACTACTGTAAATCATTCTTCAGACCATACGAAACATTTTTTTTTCTTGGCCGGTCATGGGAGGTTGATGCAGGAGAATCACAAGTTCAAGGTCAACTTCAGTTGATTAGTGAAACTCTAAGGGGGGAAAAGGAAAATATTTTTGAAATTAGATTTGGAGTTTTATAGTTCTTAGAACTAACTGTACCAACATAGTATGTTAGTGCATAAATATTTAAAAAATTCTGTCATTTTAATTTTAGAATCTCTTTAGAAGAGTGTTCTGCTTTGGATGACATTAGATGATCATATAGTATAGGATTTAGTTCAATTACTTATGAAAATGTTCTCATAAACATCAGTTGTATTGAATGATCTGTCCAGCCCTGAACTTGTAGAATATGTCCTATGTATCCTTCATATATGCATCCTGCTCTGTCTTTGATTTGTATGTAGTTATCTATTGGATCATAGGACTTAC